AGGTACCGTATTTCAAGTGAGTTTGGGCTTTTATTTATTCGGTACAAATATCTTCCCTCTCTACCGCTGAGTTGGTTAAAATTTGACGCTTGTCATTAATCTTACCTCAAGAGGGCAGATTTAAACTAACTAAATGCGTCCCTTAGGGGCTTTTAATTGACTTGGTAATTATTGTTTTCACCATAGATTCTAAGATATCAATTATTTTTAAAAAGGTGAGTTATATCCACCATAACTGACTGACTACGTATCGGAATTAATTCGTTGGATCACCACGCCTCAGGCGTGTTCGGGAAGTTCCTCTTTGAGTTGCAGCAGGATCCGTAAATATGAGTTTTTTTGCCGAAAAAAGTGGTTTAATAAATGTGTTTGGGATGATGCCTCGGATATGGAGTTGATATGCAACACATTATTCATTGGTTTCACTGACCACTTTGGCGGAATGAATGAAATCATTCAGTGTTGGCTCAAACCACATTGGTAGATGATTACTAGCAGTGATTTTTTATTACATGTTTAATCAACTTCTCGAGCCCAGCTTTTAAACAGGCGATGGAGTTTAAGATAATACTATGTTGTTAAAATTGTCCTACGTCAGTAATGCTTCTTCCTTTTTGATTTAACTTTAAAATAACCAAATAAGGTGAACACTACTGCGTGTTAACATATGGTTTTCATTTGTCGGTTATTTAAGCGAAACACCCTTATCAGAATGGTTTTTTTTTCATTCACATTACAAGTGGCCTTATAATTCTGTTTAAACAAAGCTCTGCTTCCTCTTTTGTGCGCTTTTGGGCATAGTATCCAAACACCTTCCCTCGCCTTGCTACAAAATCCCTTTGCTCACACAAAACTCCACTTCAAGATCGTATTCCAATGCATTGAATAAACTTGGTTTGGTATTTTACCTTTCCGGAAAAAATGAGGTCGAAATTTATTTCTTTCCCTTTGCTCGAAAAAGTGCAGAATACGATTACGGCTGAGTATTTTCTTTAGATAATCTAAGACGTACTTTTGAATGAGGATAAAACTGAACGCTTATTCATTTGCATCTGCTCTAAGTAATACTAACGATATAATATCTTTACTTGTTTTCTTGGAGGTTTGTGAGGAAGATTACACTTTATCAAGGAAATGCTTTTTGTTTTTCGTTGACGCGATTGGTTTGCTGGCTTAAAATCTCCCAGAGCCATGCATAGGAAATCACGCATTCAAATAGCAAACAAAATCGAGTCATAACGGTGCTTGATTGCTTCAGAATTTAATGCATGGAAGGATAAGTCATTTCTGTTCTTTAATCTAAAATGATTTCCGTATCCTTCTTTTCCGTATTAGTTGACTAAATTCTAGTACTTTCAGTGTCAGGTGGCACCTGTGGAAGTCACCAGGGGACTCGATCCTCGGCAAATGCGATTTGATTATTAGAGTCTAATTTTAAATGTTACAAAGATTCTTTGCGTCAAATTTTTAACAAATCATTTAAATCGAGCGCTCTGTGCATAGCTGCTGCATTTTACTAGGCGAAATGACTTCGGAAGTGTTTTTTTCATTTTACTCGTGTAATTCCCTTCACCCAGCAAATAATCGGACTAAAGATAATCATTTAGCTGTCAGGCATGATTAAATTCCTTCTTCTACAACTTGTATTTCTTGATTACGATGGTCCAAGCGATCAAGGATAAATGAGACAAAGGTGTGGAATGTTAGGCCACTTCCACCCCACACTCCAAGTATGCCAATTCACCTAAGCGCGGATTTTTAGTTTCTCACATTAAAACGAGCTCTGTTTGGTTTGGATCAAAAGTTTTTGTGGCTCTTAGCGCGTTTACCACTACTGTCATCTGTGACGTCCATGTTTTCTCGCTTGAAATTGCACATCACGTCGATGTGATACATTTAATTTAAAAAAAGAAGATTAAAACTGAAAATAAAAATGTTGTTAAATTAAAGCAGCAAAGTGTCCGGGCAGTTGCGATCTATTTTCCTCTAAGACATTTACCATACAAGGTGGTGGGGGCGGGACGAGAAATTGGGGGATAAGCTCAAGTAAAAGAATAAAGGGAGCCAGAGGCTGTACAGCACGAGTTGTTCACCTGGCACCATGACTCGGTGTGCGTCTGTAGCGTACTTTAGATATCAAAAAAATTTGGGCTTTCAGGTTTAAGCGGCATAACTTTGGACAGGGCATAACAAACCTGTGAGACCGGCACCAAACGCATTACGTGCATAAGCGCCCTCGTAACCAATTTCTTTGAGCTTTGGGATGTCTTCCCATAGATATCCCCTTTTATCTAGCCCCCTTTTTGGGTGTGTTGTCAACAGCTTACATGTAATTACAGTTAACTTCCCTCCCTTGTCGTTCTTCGAGCTTCCTTCGCTAAAACTAACGGTGTTACTATTCTTATGTTTTTACCGACCATTGGGAGCTCTTGTTTTCGGGTTTCTTAAACAGCTTTCCTCTTCAGTCTACCTAGGGGATTATTCTTCAAGGTAGACTTCCGCCAATTTTTCATTATGAATTCCAACTTTGACTGCGCATGTTTGAGGGTATTACCTTAAATCATTCATAATGAGATCCAAGATGTGAGCAATAGTTTTCCTATTCACTTGCTATGCCACTTAATCATCAAATTCGAAGCAGTGGCTGCTCTGCACTACACGTAGGCCCTGCACAATTTTCGACTCCATCCAAGCTGTAATCTGCACCAGAGTAGTCACGCATGGCTACGTGATGGATTGCTGTGGAAATAAACTCGATCAATGTACACACTTAACTCTGAAAAGTGGTGCTACTTGAAGCCATGGACTCATAATTTCATAGTCACTTCATAAAGTCAATGTCTTCGCACATCTACAACCAAAAGGATTAGGTGTTTTAAATAACTCCAAGCATTAGGAATCTCTGGAGGAATAGGCGTATTCACTCTTGGTATTGGATGAAATTCTCGTGTGCGTATTTTTGCCCACGGATTGCTAACGTCCATGGGGAAGTATTCAACCTAACCGTAGTGCTTGGCACGAGGGTTGTAGGTTGTAACTACAATTAGTAAAACGGAAGGAGGTGAAGTGCGATTTTACCTTAGGATAATGGACGTCAGAACTATGCAAGATCGAATTAATAACCACCCTAAATTTGTGAAATTTTTTTTCCCTAAATATACATGCGTGCGTTTTTGTGTGCCAATGGATTTTGAGTTGTTTAACACCTTCTCTACTAGTGTCACACAGAGGTGACGCCCCGACATGTCTCCATGACATGTATTACTCATCAACTGACAAAAGCTAGGTTTACCAATTTGTGCTGTAAACAGATTGGTTGAACTAAGAACAATAAAGTAGATACATTTGAAGCGAAAAAAAATAATAAATAGTAATTAGTAGAAGTCGCATGGAATGTAGTGGTCGATTTTTCCGATGGTGCCTTGCACCCTTAGTTCGCTTTCGTCCTGTTAAATTATTTTCTATGCACACCTGGGATTAAGGCGAACACTTCCTTTTCGTAATTGGCTGCATTCATAGCCAATGCCTAGTTATGTGCACTTTTATTTGAAGTGAGACGCTTGGAAAAACGAATATTGTTTTGGACGACTTGTTTATTAGCCCATGAAACAAGGTTTTTTATTACCAAGGCTACATCTAATATGCATGATTGGATTGATGACTTTGTTGCTAATCTATTACCAACAAAAATTGGCACGAAAGTGGGGAGAAGACAGGCAATGGTTTTGCTTCGGGGCACGATGTTGCAGAACCACATGATGCAAGTATCAATCACTTCGAAATTGGACAACTGCCTTTATCACATATAAGCCATATCACCTCCTCATACCTGCTCGCAACACACTTGTTGGTTATTGAGCATTCACACTTAAAGCCCATAGTTTTGAAGATGCTTGAGCGTAAATGTTAATCATTTTTAGAAGGATAAAGAGAATCTTCTTTTTAACGTAGCGAGAATGATTGTTGTCGCCCCCCGCCTTGTTTACCAGATTAAATCAAGCGCTTTACTGCAGCGGATTTTCAGCAATTTATTGCCTCCTCTCGACGATAATTTTGAGTCCCCACCACATGAGAAAAGTCTGCCAACCTCACCAAACATTGTCAGGAAATATTTAACAAAATGTCAAAGTGTTCCCAGGTTTTGATTTTATTCATTCTATTCCGATGTATCTAAGGAAGCTAGGTTTTAGAGCCTTCATTTGGAAATAGGCAAAACGCAGACCCCTTAAGAGAGAAGAAGCTCTAATAGTCGAGCATTTGGTGCTTGAAAGTGGTCCATTGTACTTAGCATCAAGAGTTTGCTTTTACCAGCAGGCAATGCTAAGTTGGTGCTCCACCACGTGCAGACTGGTTTTTCCGGTGATACTGTTCGTCCTTCACACGGCATTGCTATGACCAATGGTGAATCTCCCTTCCATCCGTGAATTACAGAGCTAAATACCAACGACCTCAGTTCCTAGTAGGTCACATGCTTCCATCTCATTAGCCTAATAAGAGTATCCTCCTTTTGGTCACTGTGGTGTTTCTGTTGATTGCAAGCAATCAGGTTCATTCCAAGTCCTGTGGGCACTATAAAAAATTGCTTTACTCCTTTAGAACGATGAGAAAAAGAATACTTAAAGTAGAGTGCGTTTAAGTGGACAAATTGTAAATTAATGATTTAATTACTGATCCAAATTGGACGGCAATTTTTAAAATCCACAAAGTCTACTCCTTGCGTTTCATTTCTGCGTGCAGGGTTTATGGTAAAGTTTATGCCACTGCGAAATCTTGGCTGTGGTTTTCAGTGAAAATAATGAAAAGTGAAGGAAGTGGAGTTTGTGTTGAGCATTCCCATTTTGATCCCAACACTTTTTTATCAGCAGCGTAGTACTTTGTTTACTAGCTTCTTCGGATGGTCAACTCTCCTAAAATACCATTATGATCAGAAATTATCGGGGAAGGAATTCGGTTTCGTGTTAATTGTTTCTGTGGTCCGTTGCCTATTGTGACAGTGCTGCACGGTATCATTCTTTTACTAATTTTGGTGAATGATCCCTAATATTCAAGTTCCCCTTGAAAAGGTTCTAAAGGACATCAGTCTGGAGACAGTTTTACTATCATCATGCAGAACCACTGGGAGGCTAGTAGGTATGACTAGTACAAACACTAACGTCAGAGCCAAATAACTAGATCGGAACAGTACGTGTGGTCATATACTCGATTAAAACCAATGCTATTCTGATACATTTCTGCCACTTGGCTAGGCGGGCAATGGCTATACAGCGTTGCACATTGCGGCGAAGCGGAACCACCAGGACCTTGCAGCGCTCCTGTTGGCCAACGACCGCGACCCCATACGGAGCACCAATCGCGAGTCGCGCTGCGGTTTCACACCCCTCCATCTAGCTGCTCAGGAAGGTAATTCTGACATGGTTGGACTGCTCCTCCTCAATGGGGCCGATGCCGAGCACAAGGCTAAGGTAAGGCCGTGTTTGTGCACATGTGAGTCCCTTGAATGCTCGCACTGAATATCATAAATATGGAATGTGGGAAGAAGTGATCGACTTGTTCCTAATGTCACCCTCAGACAGTAAGATCGCCGCAGGTGGGAGGTGCTTTGCATTTGGCTCCTAAGATAGGTTGATGGTACTGGAATCATCGCATAAAATCTAAGAGTAGGAAAGCGCTATTTTTTCACCAGATAATTTTGACCTTTTTTTAAATTCCCGATGAAGGTTCCAGGATTGATCATATTTAGCCATCACGAGCTTTTAGCATTAAACCTTGTAATCAAATTCAATGATTTTGAAAATGTGCACATAGATTACAGGCGGACGTCTCTCTAGACATGCTTTCTTCGAAATCAATGGTGAAATTTGAAAAGCAGATGGATTTTTCTGCTTTGGGAACCTTTACAAATGTTCTAGGAGTCTAATCCTCCTGAATTCCCTTATACTGCACTTCGCAGAGGGAATTGTTATTGAGTTGACAAATGGACTGGGTGGCCTAGCCGCCAGGTCAATTCTCCCTCCTTCTTAAAAGAAAAATGATTCGTTAGGTGCAGAATTCCTAAAATATACACGGTAGTTATTTCGATTTGAAATGGATGAGATGTGTTGGGGGAAAAAGCTAATTCTTTACCCTATTCCATGATAAGAATGGAACCTTTTATTAATAGTTAGTCCTTTACAGAAGTCGGTAGGAGAAGTCGAAGCGCTTGCGATTTTCTTCATCCTTTAAAATAATCTACTTGAAGACAGAATAATGGTGATTCGTCCTCAATAGAATGTCACTAGCATCTTCACCGAAAGAATGCAATGAAGGTTTGAATGCATTGAGCAAAAGAAGTAGCAGCGTACTCAGTAAATCACCCTAATTGTGTCGGTGACAAAATGATAATTTTGATTAGGTGTGATGCGAACTAAGTTGCATTGAAAGCTGTCTCCTACCGAGTTGGACATGGATTACCCTGCTTTTTAAACCTTCATTAATGTCTGGATTCCTCTGGAGTAGGTGTTTCTGATAACTAGTTACATTAAATTTGTTTTCTTTTAATTTCTCACTTCTAATACAATCTTTGCAGTGTCAGTCTTCTAAATTTTAAAGCATAATGTTAGTAAAAAAGCTTTTTTTGCATCCACCACTTGAATGCTTTGAAAACTATCATCTCTTGACGGAGATGACACTTCAAAATCACATTCAACCCACTTGGAGCAAGAAATGTTTCGGACCGTCTTCTTAACAATGTTGTATCTCCAGCTCCCTTTGCAGAAAATGCTCTACCAAATAGCTTGGCAAGTTTGCTAGCAAATGATTAGTATTTGATGCCTCTCACTACCTCCTCCTTTTTTGTCTTTTGAGCCGTGAATTTTCTTATTCATATGGACAGGGAATCATGTTTTCTTTTATAAGCACCAACTTCTTTCTCCACAATTTACATAATGTCTGTTTTCTTATCATGCTCGACTTGTTTGCGCCAGAGTAGATGCATATTTTTGGCCTTCTGTAGGCCTGAGTGTCGGATTTGCATATTTCCTTTCGTTAGGTGGGAAGGCGATTCATCAGATCGTGGCACAGGCAAGGGTGTTGTGAATGACTTGTCTCTAAGTCTTCCGCTTGCATCCACTGGAAAACTATACACCTCACTATCTACTTTGTGAATGAGTTGCAATTTTTAGGTAGATGCTTTTTTTCGTTTCAATGGCCACCCAAAGCGGCAAATAGCATGGAAAGTAGAACGCCTTTTAACCTTAATTTACATTCTGATACATAATAAAATATCTCTGACAGCAATGTCCAACCAAATGAATGGCTTCAAAAAAAGTAGTCACTTTGATTTCATTCAGTCATTCCCAAATTCCTTTCAACCGAATAAATTGTATAAAACAATTGTGTGCATTCGACCTCGGCCAGTATTCAGTAAGTACAACTTGTTCACAAGCCTTGCGTTCATCGTGTTAGTCGAGTTTGTCTTGCGACTAAGCAGTCCACTTTTATCCGCTCGTTTTCACCGCCTCAAGTTGATTGATGGTCGCAGCAAGTTTAGCATGCAATTCTTTGCAAGTATTTTAAAAACATCCTCCAAGGATAGGGGGGGGGAGAGAAATAGTTTGCTTTAAAAGCGGTTACAAAAAGGTAATGCACAAAGCCCAATTTTAAATGGTGCGAATTCGAAACCATTATGTTATAATGGTCTAGCATTAGTCATCACTACTTGGTTTTACCTTCAGCACGAAAGTGGAGTCGCTCAGTTCGCCTTCTTGGCCATGTTCACTTACAGCGTTCGGTCCTTTTGGTTGGTGCGTCTTAGCAATCAAGTGCAAGCACGTCCGCTCTCGTCTGTACACGGAGAAAATTTCGTTTTTTTTGAATTTTCATGCCGCTCATACACGCACAATCGGCGAATCGCACGGGCACACACGCTATTGTGGGTTGGTTTTGGCTACTCCTTGAATCGCTGTGCCCCAGTAGACCGCTTGCGAATAAACTGAAATTGGAACAATTCAGTGCGAAGGATGGACTTGATGCAACTTTGTAACGGAATAACCCATCTTTAATTGTAGATTGACTGCTATGCACACAGACATACGCATACTACTAGTGTATTAATCCGTATTATTTGTAATTATATTTGCAAGTAGTCCAGGTGCCATCTACTTTTGAGAATAAGTAGCTCATCTTCGTGTCCACCTGGTAGGCCCTTCAAAGTTGTTTTGTGCGATATCTATAGGCACCTCCCACACTAATGTTAGTAACTACGCTTTCTTCAGTGAAGTTATTTGTTGAACTACCAAAGGAGGCTGGATAAGTGCCATTAGTATAAGATTATCCACTTATTTGTTTGGTTTTATCCTTTTGTCAGTTAGGTGATCTGGTTTGCAAATAGTTGGCCCTGCTTGTTACCTAACATCCCATTTTTGTATCCCTTGTGGATCGAATACTCTTTCTTGGAAATGTGAAGGACCAGAATGAAAGGGAAAGTTTGAATGCCCATTGCCTTGAGGGATACTAGACCAGCTCGCAGAGTTGTCTTCTCAGGGCTTAATCGTCTGACAATATGACTCGGGACGTTTGTGCACATTTCTTGTAGATAAAAAAATAATTGACTTCTAAGCAGAAATTGTATAGTTAGAAAAGTTTTGAAGATGTTTTAATAGAATCCTAACCGCTACCCTACTATATTTTATGCACTTCGGATTCTTCAATTCATCGTAGAACCCTTGAGGCTAGATCCTCGCCACCGTTTATTGCAGACGTCTATTACCAGTTTTTAGGCAATCCACTAATCTTTGCATCAAATGATTTTTTCTATGCCCAATTTACTGGAACACGTTACGAGAACAAGGTTAGGTAGTTCAGGTCTTCGTAATGGAAAGCTCTGACTACTGTAATCTTCGAAATTAGTGGTATAAGAACAGTGGAAGCTCTCGTGGATCCTTCCTTAGAATGAGTTATATGCCATGAGGAAATATTCCTCAGGACTCATTGACTCGAGACCCTCACAAGTCGTGCATGGGTCAGTCTGCATACCGTCAATATAGATGCCAGGGGAGCATAGAGTAGTGCATGTATTCAACAGCGCGTGTCGAGGATCGAAGTTTCTTGAGAACGAAGGTGTCAAACCCAAATTCGTGGGTATCACTCGTACGGAAGACTTTAGACATGCTCAGCTGGAATAATGTACGCGTTTCATGCGGCTAGCTGCACGTTTGTGCATGCTGGTTTCCGGCCGTGGTGACTCCTAAACCACCTGCACAGCAGTCATTACCGCGACTGTTCATTCAGTGCGTGAAACGCCCACTTGACCTTGGACGCCTGACTGATGCATAGTCCGATGTGAAATTGCACAAGCAGCATATTTTGCAATTTGGAATGGTTAGCCCGTAGGATACTTCATTTGTGCTGTCACTTCTTTCTGTACCGAGGCTGCTTCCCAGAGATTAGTTATGCGCCAAGTCAAAAAATGAATGTAGTATTCACCATTTGAAATTTGTACTTTTATAAATAGCAAAAAGTCGCGTTTAAACTTTAACCTCCTCTGTCGTGTAAGTTAGGTGGTCAGTAATAGAAGTTTTTGATGGTCTTTTTGACCTTTGAAAACACAATATGTAGTCGGAACGACTTTTTTTGAAGGAAATTTGATGAGGTTAAGTGGTATGTGGGTGCAGTAGGAGCTCTCAATGACCCATGCTAATTTAAACTATCCACAGAATGGTGTAACTCCAATGCACCTAGCGGCATTGGAGGACCACGTAACCGTGGCACAGCAGTTAGTGCACGAGGGGGCACAGGCCACGGCGATGACACAGGCGGGCTACACGCCTCTGCACACCGCTTGCTACGCTGGCCGCCTCAATATGGCGCGCTTCCTGGTGGCTCTAGCTACCTCCGACATCAACGCGGCTACCAACACAGGCTTCACACCCCTCCACCTGGCTGCGCAGCAGGGCCACTCTGACATTGTTTACCTCCTCCTTGAACACGGTGCTGATCCCAACGCAAGAAATTCGGTAAGTCCACGACCTCATCAGTGTAATCTAGACTTCTATTTATTCATGCTGATGTAAAATCGCTTTACTTGAATGTACTTCTCTTTCTAACTCGTTTTTTCAAAGTCGACTGCGCTTGAAAGCTGCATGCTTTAATGTGAGATTGTGAACCTCGATTTCATTCCTCCGGAAGTGACTTTCTTCTCGAGTAAATCGCAGGAGCTGTTTTGTTTCTATGTTGGTTTCGCAGACCTTCTTTGCAACGAGTTTGTAACTCTCATGGGGAGGATACTTATTGTGAGAAGGCCTCGTGTAGCAGTTGGCCTAACCTGGGTTTTTGTGCCCGTGTAATTGCAGGATCTATCCATATCCCTCACCTGTGTATCAACAATATCTGTAGCCGCTGCACCTGTGTTCATGTTTCTTAAAATCTCGATCTCGTTATTTAGTTTTCCATTCTTTCGCTTTCTATGATGTTTATGGACATATTCATATCCCAGCACAACTCTATCCAATGCCTCCCTCCTTGAATGGGGAATCATTTGTAGTTTCTCACTAACATCGATCTTACGCATTTGGACCCATATTTGGAGGAACCTCAAGGACTGGTCTTCCTTTGGATGTTCACTTTTAGAATCATGGGAACTACTTATCGTCTTTGATTGTAATGTAAAAAACCCATTAGCCTCATAAAACTTCAGGAACTTTGCTCACGTTGGGTTTCTAGCTTGTGATTCACGAGGATCATGCGGTGGACCAAGCTTTAGTGGTCATATTAACACACTCCGCCCTTGTAGCCCTTTCATTTTCATGGCAGCACTATCCCCTTTGAGGAACTTTACAAATCTCGATCGTATATGGATCTTAGTTTGATAAATCGTGGAGATTACGAGTTTTACCGATTTTCAAGTTGGTAATCTAGTAATGCTTAATTTTGTTGAGCGTTGTTCCTTTCGATCATGAGTAAAAACCCTCTCCATCCGCATTCTTCACCCTCTATGATGAGCATGCGTAGGCCTGTCTCACTTTAACGTAAAAGTACTGGTGATTTCATATGGGCGGCTTTGAAGGCACTTCAAGAGCTGCGCTGGTTTTGGTGGATGAATTTATGGATGAAGAAGGTTACTTGTTGTGCCATCATTCATAACAAAAACATCGATTAAGTTAATTCTTTTCAAATGCCATTTTAAACTCACACCAGTAGAATCGCATTGCAGACACCTCAAGGCCTTCGGAGTTCTTCTTCTAAACCATCAGGAGGGAGATTTTAATGCTAAACCAATAGTTGGTTCTAATTGCTACAAACTTTTAAATCGACTTAGATGAGCCTTGTGCCCGATTGTTTTATGAGAAAATCTCGTTTGGCGTGGGAAGTAGGGTATCTCTAATCCCATTTTCCCCCTTTCCCATGTGTGTGCATTCATGACCCAGGGGGGCGGGGGTGTTGTTAAATTTTTAATATGAGAATATCGTGTATGGCTTTTATTATTGAAATTCTTTACATAGGTGGAAATCGGATCTCTTTTTAGTAGCTATAGCGAAACGCTTTTAGAGCGTGGGAATGTGGGAAATTGCGTTCATTCTTCGTCACTTCTACAACGTGTTAATGAGATGGATGAACTCCGAAAAGTTGCAGATGCATGATTTCGAGGACTCGGAGTCATCACTTTCCTCCATTTATGCTTCAGTGTACAGCTCTATCAAAAAAGCTTGTCCTGGAGCCCCACGCATGGTTTCATTTAATTTGCTTTTGGCGGGTAATTTGAAAATCTGCCAAGTTTGTGAGCTTAGATTTCACCCTTTGTTTCCTAGATTGTTGCCAAAATTAGTAATTTTTCAAATAATGACAATTCAAGTGTATCCTTCTCCTGCTGAAATGGGATGTCGTGAAAAATGGAACTGATTTCTTTACTATTTACTTCCACCCATTGAAAATGGCCATTGAATTACTGGATCTGAACGAAATCTGCCCTGATGAGGGTGGCAAAACTTCTACAGTGATTGCTCGCTGCAACATATTTTAAGGATGAGGTGTTAATGAAATCTGAGCTGAAGTACAATTGGAATGGTGGACTTCTGCTTCTCATTCCATTGAGGTTCTGCAGTTCAGTGTTACCTTGGACCATATCTTGCGAGTGGTTCGATATCTTTGAATCCTGAAACGGTAGCTCGGCTTCGTGAGCAGCACATTGATTGTTTCTTCTGCTTACAGCAAGGTCTGACGGCGGCTCAAATCGCCCGTCACCAGCACTACCTGACCATCTTCGACACACTTCGCACCGTCACCACGGTTATCACCAACTGGGATGACGTCAAGGAGACATACGATACGGAGATCCTCCTTGATCTACCGGAGATTGTAACCACCGCTAAGGAGGCTGCCGAGGCCGTCGAATCGGATGAGGAGGGGAGTAAGTGCATTTGCACATCCATCCGCCTACCCCCCTCACTGCTCTCTACAGAATTCTTATTTTATGATATTTATAAAATAAAAATTGTATCTTCTTGTAGAATCGAACGGTAACTACCCAGTTGCGTGCAACAAAATCATCTCTACCGGAAACCTTTGCATGAGTTAGCATGAATTCAAACGCTTGTATAGGTTTATTTCTTCCCATAACCCCTCCGACATTGTTTTTGAAGTAGCACACTACCGTTTAGCTTCTCCTCATTCTTTTTTTCGCCTTCTTTGAATGTTGTCAAACAATGTGCTCATTCTGCCCATCTCTTTGTGCGTGCGTATGTTAGTGGCATTGTCGCGAAAGGTCGGCAGGACAACGGCGTATCCCTCGCAATATCAGGCGGAGTACGTCAAAACCTCCTCGCAAGCGGCCAACACTCTTCATCCCTCTGGTAAGCATATCCTTGTTGGGTCTCCAACTGTTTTTTTTGCATATCTATCGTTCTTTAATTCTGTATGGATCAAAGGATCTTAGCAATAGTTATGCCAATTGGTAATGAAGAAGCATGAAGAATGTAGAGGCTTTGGAGCAGGAAATCTCAACTTAACGGCCTAGCGTTATATCTGTTTACCACCTATTCTCAGTAGCTAGATGTGGTTGCTACCAGCGTTGCATATGCCGTATTCTCCGTCTGTTTTCAAAAGCTGCTTAAACTTAATCGTGCCTCAAACGGATTTGTTGAGTTATCAACGAGGCAAATGAGGGTGCCCGTGGTTTAGATCTAATTGCATTCTTTTAGTTTTGAATAGTATAACTTTGAATAAAACATGTATTTTGTAGGCAGTAGTGGTTGATTTTTCCATCGAGAATGATATTAAGCGTCCTGATTAAAATCTTTCCCAGCCGATCAGATCGCGTCAAATCGCACAAAGTGATAATACCGCAGTGTTGAGTCACCAAACAACTAATGGTATATGTTTGATGATGATTCTGTCATGGATTACTTCGTGATTTTCAGTTACGTTTTTGAAATATGGTGAAGGGTAGATTTTTCAGCACGTTCAATTGTAGTATTTTGTCTCTATGATGATCTCCACAGCTCATTGATGCTTTAATTGTTACGTGTCTGTTGATTTTTTTGAATAAAAATATTGCGAAATTCTCACTCGTTCGTCGGTTTACAAGATCTAGCCCCAAAACGATAAATCAAGTGCCAATCGCGAACCGAAACGTGCTTCGGAATTAGTCGTAATGCGCATTCACAACAAGAAAAATAAGTCGAAAACAATGAAGGTAATTTGTTGCTGGGCTAATCAGACATTTTAGACTTAGCAGTTCAGTGGTTTGATGTTTAAACGGATGGTTTGAATCTTCCTAGTTGCTAGTTATCAGACCGCAGTGTATCTTATGGTAATTGCATACTATCTTAACACAAACATGGATACACATCGTGCAGCATCCCATCGCCCGAAGGTACTGATTTTATATTCCTCCCTCCTTGTAGAATCTGCGTACGAGAACGATCTAATTTGGGGCGAGATGGAGTACCTGAGTCAACCACTTCGTAAGTCAAAGAACAATATACACCCACACCTCCATTCTCCCTTTTTTTCATCACATCTTACTCTTTCATACATCAAACATTGAGTAGTAGGTACTTAACTGTCATTACATCTGTCCATCATCAGGCAGCCGTCAACCAACCATTGGAAGTGGAGGTGAGATATGGCCTGTATCCTCTGTGTGTGCGCATGCATCTACAAACTCGTTGTTTGCATGCATACCTGGCCCGTCAAGCGTCTTTTGTACGGCCTTGTTGCCTTTCCCCTCTTTCCCTTCATTATCATTTATCTCTGCACGTGGACACTTTAGTTGTGTGCCTGTACTGATCCTCCCATAAGTTTTGGTTACTGTCGAATGTCACTTTGCAAAAGCATCAGGTCTTAGAACTTAGTATCCTATTTGAGGGCCACAGAACTTATTCCAGTTATATTGATGACTATTGGTAGCTTGAAATTCATCATTCAGTTGTATGACAAATGGTTTGCAAAATGCGTGCTAACAAACCTCCACTTTTATTGTGATTGCTGGAAATTTGCAGTGTTGATTTGGTTGACAGTATCTCCAAAGTCAGCGTTATCACTTTCATTCCACCAAATCGCTATTACCTTTTTAATTTACAGTGAATTCAGTCCTTCAAATTTACTTGGAAAAATGAGTATGGAGTGCGTGGTTGTTTCCAAAATGCGTCTCAGTTTCTCCCATTTAATCGAGGCTTTCTATGTTTCATTCTTCAATAGGCTTAGAAATTGAAGTATACCTTTATACATTCAGGGCCAGTGAAATTGTCGCAAAAACCTGATTGTGCAGTGACGGTTTCCTTTAATGCCGGCGACAGGATTATGTCACTATCCTTCCCCCCTCTTTTGAGATTTCATTCAGTCGCTACCCGTATGCAATTGATGCTACGATTGAGGGACTCGGGGTAAATTTTCTCCCGAACAGGTTTGAATTGTCCGCTTTTCCCGAGAATTGCCCCATCCCAAATTATTCTACCTAGTACATTAGGGACTAGCGTTAATCATTTTTCGATTTAAGGATACAAATTTCTTTTTTCCTCCTTTCTCTTTTTTCCTGAAATCTGGAAAATGGATTGATACCTGACCATCCTCCTCTCGCATTTGATTTCTCACTTTAACTCCCCATATTCGAGGTGATTAAAACGCGGCATTTCCATATCTTAAATACATTGGGCGAAATGATTTCTGATTTATCTAGCCAGAGCTGGTGGTATTGCTCCAAAAGTGTAGTGTTTCTGTGTTTTTACCAGTGTTTTCCAAGAATAGTAAATTTACTGTGGTAATAAACTACTCCTCATCCCTTCGGAACTGATTCAAAATTGCATCGTTTATTGAATAACTCTTAAGTATGCCAATAACACAGCATTTTGTTACTTTTTCTTCGCAGAAATTTTTCTAAATGCCCATTTCACTTCATTTCTAGTCGAAGTAGATAGGAGAAAACTGCTTCAGTTGGAAAGATGTGTAGGAAAGGGCGCTAACGCAGCTAATCCCGGTCCCAAAGTGTAGCTATAAGGAGACCGCTATGATTGTGCATGAATGTGCGGTAGAGGTTATACTTGTAATACACTCTCCCTCTCACCCATACAAACACACGCATATCAATTTCAAAATATCAACGGGAAGACGACGTTTCTTCACTAGAAGGAGTTCCAAATCGGGAGTCCATCAAGGCGAGCGAGGATGTCACCTCATTGACGGGTTTTACTGATACAGTTGCCTTCTCGACTGAGTCCCCTACCATGCAGACTGGCCAGTATCTGCTGGAGTTTCCCTCTGGTCGGTTGTCTTACACGCTTGCCCATTGCCTCTACTGTCTAGCCAGCAAGCTTTCATTCAATTCACATACTCACTACGGCTGACCTGGCATCGACAGCTTCTGAATACGTTAATCATCTTTTGGTATTCTGACCCACACTGGAAGTTGGTGCGAACGCGCTTTAGTTAATTCTATCCTTGCAAAAGATACCTAAGGGCACTAATTCGTCATCTCAATTTCAACATCCCAAAGCTTTTTTGATTTACGCTTTCTCATTTAATGCCTTTTTTGGATGTATAAAAAAACTTGATTGCTGCTTCCCCGTTTGTGCTGCGGCCGGAATTAAGGCATTGATAGATATTCAGCACTAGTTTAATCCTTTATTTTCTGTCCTTTTTTCATGCAAATCTTGATTTTTGTCTCACATTGTGGGTTTATGACTGTCTGTCAAACCTGTTTTAGGCTTGAGTAACATCTACCATCGCTCCTATCTCTACCCTGATCGTCATCGATATCTGAGCCAGTTATTTAATGCTTTTTATTGGCTATTCGTCTTCATTCGGTTCATATGCAAATTCTTAGATCTGGGATTCGTTGTATTTGCCAGTGGTCAAAGGTTTTCTTCCAGATGACCGTCCCTTCGATTCCCAACAATTTTTGATTTGGATCAGTTTACCAATGTTGAGTACATTCGACGATTTCAGTCTGCAAAAGATAATACATGCGGCGGGTGGAAATGCTCTATTTCAATGTGTTTTAGTTTTGTACTTGCTTCCATGCCACGGCTGTTTCAGCTACGTTTAGCATGCGGATTGGTATCTTTCCATTTGGGGTCAATGCGAAACTGTGGAATTGTAATGGGATCAACCAATACTGGGCAATCGACAAACCCGATTAAGTTTCTTCCCTTTCGTTTAATCTTACCCCTTTCAAAGTTGCGTGTGACCTTACTGTCTTGTCTCCACTGTCGAACCCGTCAGTCAGTTCTGGGTTACTTGATTGATGCTGAAAATTATTACCGATGTGGTTTTGCTTATTTGATCTAAAGATGCCATTTCCTTGTGGAATTAATGCGCTTAGTCTCCCATTCGTGCTTGCTTGCTTAACTTCTGCCCTGACCATTTAAAAAGTAACATTGAGGTACTACCAATTGTTCGGTCAGTGATGGGCAAGAATATAAACTCGATCTCTCCTCTTGCTTAACGATTTTTCAGTGCCAGTCCCGCTTTCTTGCATATGAGATCTCTTGCGCACAGCCAACACCCTCATAATCTTTTAACTGAGGCATAAACCACAATACAAAGCGAAACAAGTAAATAAACATGCACATTATTAAAGTATGCATTTATGTTTATCCCCTCAATCCAGACGAACAAGTGTTGCACGAGACCTCCGTGGTTCCCCAACACAATACCAGCCTCTCTGCTACTCTTACTAGCGATCTCCACATGGGAGAGGTGCGTATTGCATCGACTACTTCTACCATTTCTGTTTCTGTTTCCCCTCACTCTGCTCTCTTTTAGAGCTCAAGGGTATTAGCAGGTCCAGGTGATAACCTAGACGCGGAATGGGAGATGGAAACGGAACCTGTTATGAGTACTTCAAAGAAACCGCTGGCTGGAGGGTGAGTTCCACTTGAAACTGCACATACTCTAACTCTTCCCTTCGCCACTTTTATGCGATGAGTTTTACATCTACTTTTTTCTATCTTTTCTTCCTAGCTTCGAGAAATATCTTTCACCCTGGTAAAGCTCTTGCGTTTTTGCAACTTTTGTTTTGAACTTACATTGATCTGTTCCTCATTTGTGTGTTTTTGCGTGCACATGTTAGCCTTCATCATGTTTGGTGCTGCCAAGTAACTTGACATTTTGCTACCTTCATTGTTATCACTACGGGAACACAAACCTGAATGTGTTGTGGTGCCCGCGTTAACCTTGAAGATGTCATGGAGCTAACTTGATAATGACCGCACAGGACTGGCATGAGCATACCTATAGGCTAAACTTTGTTAACTGGACAAATTTAGATCTGTCCTGTTTTGAGCATTGTCCTTTGTAATCTTCGTGAGTACTCTTCTGATTCGGCCACCATCAAGATAGCTGGGTATGCAGAACTGCCCAGAAAGTGGGCATGAAAATCATATGGGAATTTTTTTCATCAGGTAAAAAGAGCCTCAATTTCAAAGACAGTGACGTATTTCATAGATTTTGACGAAATCAGTCTCTTAAGCCCTCTGGGAACAGTATTGCAAGAGTTTGTGCATATTGCTAATTGCTCGAAGCTGGATGATGTTCCACGGGAAGTGCACTTTATTTGCCAATCGTTTCTTGTAGGGATATTTGCTCCAAAGCAAGGGTATTTCTAAAAATACGTTATAAAGTAGAGCTTTGGTGCTGCATCCTCTCTGCATTCAATTTCGTTATCATTTCGATGCTGAATAACTACCTATCTTGGTTAACCTCGGCTTGTAATGTGGAAGGATATTGCGTTAATCTTGCAATCAATTCTTCAGAGCCGATTCTCGCTTTGCCAATGACCATTCTGCAAGACGCGAGATAGGGATTGCTGCCAAAGCTCGATGCAATTTCAGTAGCCTTTTTATTCTTTCACTCGTCCATAGCACATGTCGGTCTTCTATACCGTCTCGATACAGTACATCCACTGACATTAAAGCCGAGGTAGTTTTTATTCCTTAATTTGATCCAGCTGAGATGTTTTAGCGTTCCAGATTTTGTTTTTACCTATGTTCCCGCTTTTTGTTAAGCGGTGTGCAATGTTCCACACCTTATTACCTTCACCCTAATTATCCCCGTGCGAATACCTACCTGGGTGTGTGGGATTGATCAAGTCCGTCTGTCTCTGTCTGTCAGTCTTCGTTTTAATGATCCCACGAGTTTCCTGCTCTCCCATTATTATCGTTAAGTGGCAGTAGTATTCTCCTGCACCGGACCAAACACGGTATTACAGCCACTCTTTTATTTGCATACATCTTCCTTTTTATTGCCGTTACTTATTATTACCATGGCAACAATTGGCGATTTATCGTTTCCGCCAGATGCCGCTCACAAATCATCAACAGAAAAGTGAGGGCAAAGTGATTTTTTTTGGTAAAATTGTGCACATTTTGCCTCGTACCAATTTAGCGCATGTGATGGGGAGCGCGCAAATCGTCCTCCGTCAATTCCCACTTTTTGCAGAATCAACTGTTCTTTTCTCCCTATGCATAATTATCGATGTTCTCAATTTTCCTTTTTTTAAAGTTTATAAAAAATGCCGCCTCCCTCCAGACAGCCCAGGATGGTAGATGATGTCGGTTTGCTACATACCATTTTTTTCTGGTTTTTGAGAAGTATATTCAAATTTTACTGATAATAGCATGACATTTTGATTATTGCTGTTTAATTCTTGTTCAAAATGCATGGTCTCTTGTGATCTTCCCTGTCAATTTTCGGTTGTTTGCGAACAAAATTTCAGTAAAATTATTGCCGAAAACATGTCTTATTGGCGTAAATTGTAAGAGGCAGCGATTTAAATACTTTCAGTCCATTTAACGCAACAGAGGTCAAAACTTACTAACTGTTTGGTATCTAATGGTGCTGTCTCTGACACCTACCATACTGAGTTGTGAAACAAGTCCAATTATACCGGAAAAGGTTTCTTAACATGTGTGTGTGTGCTACCTTTCCATCACTTGTAATTTGTGTTGCAGTGTTTGCCTGACATGTTGACGCGGTTGTTTACATTTGGCTTTCGTGTTATTTAAAATTGTTGTTACGTCAGCTGTCAAGTCAATACTTATAGAGCGTGTCAACTCCATGGTAACAAAATTTTCCCGTGAAGTGTGGGACTTTTTGATTATTTTAATCAGATTTGACATGGTTGGAATTTTTCTACCGAAATGACAAATATTTTGCTTCACAGTGTTTAAGTTCCAAATTTAACGGTTCGCGAATGCAATTTTTAAGCGTTGCAAAAAATAGCTACCACGTAGCTCAATCTTTGTCTTTTCTAAAACTCCAATTACCCTGCAGTCTACGTAAACTCTGCCATTAACTATATGTGAAGTGTTCTTTTGTCCACAGGAAGCGTGAAGGCAATTTTAACATTCATTGTTATCTCAACTTTTTATGCTCTAGCTTAGTTTTTCCTTGGTTTTTTAAAAAGATCTGAACATTGTATTGTGAATGTGAATTTAGTCGGAGTTGTGTATTAATTACCCGTCCCCGCCATGGGAATATACGTTTTCTAGGGGGAAAATTTTTCTAACTCATACTGGACACCGAGCTAGGGGTAATTTCCCCCAACACCGCAACATCAAGTGACTTGCATGCGATAATTTCGCGAGGCGGTACTCTCCGAGTTCTCTTTCCGCGTTACTTCTTTGCACTACCTTGTTTCTCGATGGTACTGGAACACCTTGACTAATCGTCCTCTTTCCTGTGAACGCTCAGCTTTCTGGTCTCCTTCCTTGTGGATGCACGCGGTGGCCTACTGGAGTCGAAGCGCTATCCAGGCATGCGTTTCATCATTCCACCCAACGCCTCGGTTGGACCACTTCGCATCATTTGTCGCCTCCTGCGCTATCCCTCCTATGCCATCCAACCGCCTCTCAATGATGGCGAGGGTCTGGCTTGTCGGTGAGTCCTTGCTTTCTTGTCGGTTTTTGATCTTTTTTCATATCTGCCTTTGTGTCTCAAGCAGAAAAAAGGCACTGTCGCTAATCAAGATGTATGGCTTAGTTTCCTGTCTTCTTTCGCTTAAAAATGTGAAATACTCAATTCCGAACTTTTGTGAAGTAGTCGGTAGCAGTCCATTCAATCCAACTCACTTGATTTCCTCCAGCAGGCAGTAAAGAAGCGTAGAGAGTAGCATGGGGATGACATAGTGACTGAAAGGGCAGGAAGCCAGATTTTCTTCGAAGTTTTCGAGAAATAGTTGCATTTCTTATAAAGCTCGGCAAATTACCAGTCGGGTAGATTGATTTGTCATTTGATAAGTGTACAAAAGAAAGCACTTTTTTTCTCTGCACTTTGGTGTCATTGAGCAGAGCAGTCTTTACTCGTACCCTCTCCCTTCGAGAATCTAAGGAATAATAAAAGAGAAAAAAATTCTCAATTTGTATTTGCGACGACAAGAAAAATCAGCCCACCTTTCGTTGAAACTACTTTGATTTGAAAAAATGTGGCCCTTTTTGCTTCTCTCGTATATCTCTAGTGTTGCTTTGATCTCTATCCGAATTTTCTGATGACTCAGCAGGCTTGTCATGGTAATATTCAATAAAAATGGTAATTTTCACTTTACATTTTTCCCGTCTTGTAGACTAATTGAAGTGGGTCCAGTGGGCGTCCGTTTCAATGCGCCTATCCTCATCGAGGTGCCCTACTGCGCTTCACTACGAAGCAGCCAACGCGAAATTGTTGTACTTCGCTCGGAGAACGGTGAGATTTGGAAGGAGCACCCAGTTGATCCTACTGATCAGGCCGTCCAGGACTCCCTCGGTGAATACTTTGGTGCGTCCGCAGCTGTCGTTCTTTAACGTTATAACTGCGCCCAAATCACTTCTGAGGGCTTGGATTCTGTAACTCAAAATTTTACTGTCACTTTTCTGCATGTCTGTTCCCTCTTCAGCTGTGTCTGCACTCCTGATTCCAGTCACAGTAGACAATTATAGGTGTTTTATTGCCCCCAAAGATGTTGTTGCAATGACCAAAATTCCACTTTCCTGACTCGTTTAAAATGAGTTTGTCGGTGTGCCTGTGTGTGTCCTTTCATGCGCCTCTCTTCTGCCAACCCCCAACGTTTTATGACGTCTAGTTTACTCCCCAAGTCGTGGAGTGACTAAGCAAGAGAATACCATCTTGGCCTCCCCAAATTGAGTTGCGCCACCAGCGGGGTAATTGGTTCAATCAAAAGATATACCATCTGTTTGTTATTCAGGAAAAATTGAATGAAGTATTGGGGTGATTTTGCAACAAAATTAATTTAAAATAAGAACTCTGTATTCCCCTTTTGTCATATTACGATGTACAAATAGGTAATCTCGATTGCTCCATACTTAAAGCAGAAATTATAGATTACTAGCCTGATCCAACTTGATACTACTCTATAACATGGTGGATAAGAAGGGCTGATTTAATATTGACCTGAAGCGTCTAAACCCTTCTTGAGGGGGGTATGCAATCTACTGGTCAGAATTTGGCTTTTTTATTTCAAATGTACAGAAAAACATAGGAAACTAGCAACATAACAGAGCTCCATCCCATAGCTCTACTAGGCTAAAGGATTCGATCAATCTATTAGGCGGCCGTAACAAGTAGCATTCTCCTCTCTTTCTCTTACTTATTCTATAGTTGATGCGACTCCCTCCACCGAATTGCGTAGACGTCGAGTGCACCGCATACTTACCAGCACCATCCCACAATACTTCGCTCTGATCACACGCACCCGCCAGGACCTCGTGATCGTCGGTCCCGATGGCTACGTCCTCACATCTAGCGTTGATCCTCAGGTCAAGGTCACATTCCCTAGGGGTGCCCTACAGAAGAAGATCCGAGTGGGATTGCAGGTACAGACCGTGGATCCTGGCCTCGTGGCCGCGTGTCTCGGCTCGCCACGTATCGCCGTCTCACCGATTGTGACGATAGAGCCGCGTCGACGCAAATTCCATCGCCCCATTGTGGTCTTTATTCCTCTGCCTACGGTGGCAGGAAAGGGGGCTCAGCAACAGCAGAAGGGACAGGCGCCACCCGATCTCTCGACTGTGCGTCTACTCTGCTCCATCACGGGCGGTACGGCGCCGGCCATTTGGGAAGACATTACGGGCAGTTCACCGTTCTCGTTGCAGAAGGATTGTGTCTCCTTCACCACTACTGTCTCGGCTAGGTAAGAGTGTGTGGGCATTATCTTTATGACTTCGAATTGCCTGATTACTTCGAGCCTGAAAGTGGCTTGAGTGGCATGCCCAGAACTCTATGCCAATACCCTAGACGCTGAATCTCCAGAGGTTGTGAACGCATTCAATGGAACTGAGTAGTAGGAACGGGGCTCATGTGATAATTTTCAATCACAATGGGAGTACTTCTGGATCCAAAGTTAATACCGTAGGCTTCGATATGGTTCACCTGTCACGTTTTGTTCACGAACTGCCTTGTGGGACATCGTTTGTCAAGCATTCCGATGTTCTACAGGGTGGATAATTTCGCTTGTCAGTCGATTTTCACTGAAATGGTTACTAAAAATGTAAAATTTATGCTATTAATTGCACAGTATAAAGTAGCGCCCTGGCGTCGCCTTCTAGCCTCCTGCAAATTTAGGTCCAATTAATTTTTACAAGAAACAGCATAAACTGCTCCCTTTATGAGCCATTTGAAGTCGTTCAAAGTAGACCACACTCTACTTCGGTTGAAAGTCGATGCGATTTTAGTTTTCCTTCAGTTTTAAGTCTTCACAGTTTCAGCCATCAAAAGCAACAGTCCTTTTTCACTACCACTTTCTAAGTGCATGACCTTTTTAAGCACTAATTTGTGTTTCAGGCCTGTGAATAGTCGAAAGGTCTGTGCTAACTACTTATCCACTCCTTACCTTGGGCTGGGACTTATTTAAGCAAAGGTATTGCTACGATTAAAGCATCTAGCTATTGGTTGGCATTAATTCCAAACATTAACGTTTGCATCAAAAAATATTTCGTCCTCCTTTTAAGAAACTTTTGAAGTTTACTTTCCCTTCCCCCCTGGCGCCTCAAAGTCGCGTTTGTGCATTCACCTTAGTAATCGCGGCAAATTTTTAAGTGCTGACTGGGAAGGAGAAAGGAACCAAAATGAAATGTGACTTTGATGAGAAAACGAAAGTCACGTACTAGATTTTATGTATCTATGTCCCAATGTAATACCTAATTCATTTTCTCTTTTTCATCTAAACTGTGGTGGTGTTTTGGTTTTCCAGGCATGGTTTGACGAAGTTGATATTTTTATCTGAGACAAGAACTTTTTGCTTATCTAATGCGACTATCTTATATGATGTTTGTACAAACTAATGACTCTCTATAGTCGAAAGTAAATGAACCTCCATTAAACTCTCCTAAATTATTTCATACGAATACAATTTATTTGTCGGATATCTCTTCCTTGGTCTCACCTACCACAGGTCATGGTCCCATCTATTTTTTATCGCGATTTTTTTTAAAATCTCTCTGACTTACCCTTTAAATTTCTCCATATTTTCTATGATGACATGGGGATCACGACAGCGGTCACGATTTGGTCATCAAAAATATCTTTTGTGCAAGGTTCCAGTGCTTACGTTTTTACAGTTTGAGCAGTGGTTTTTTATCAGTCCTGCTTGATTTTATCCTGTAACGAAGACTGTCCATCCAGCCGATATGAAGACTACCAACTCTGTGCCTTTCACAAAAGAGAAATAGTACTTCTGATCAGGTGCGTGTGCCAGGAGCCTAAATCCATCCTCATATTGACATGCTTGGTCGAATTGGCGGCAAATTTCTTTCCCTCAGAATCGTTTGTACTTTTAAAATAAGAGGAAGTTTGTTATAAAGAATTGGTCTGTCATATGACTGTACCCACCACCTTTGGGTGAGTTAAAGACTGTGGAGTCTATCCAATCCCATTTACTTTTCAAAGTTTTGGAACAGCTGATAGGGATTCTAATTTCACACTGTAATAATGTAGCAACAGTCTCCTTCAATGTTTTTTACAAATCGGACTAAAAATTCGGCGCAACTTTGTGAGAAACTCTTCGTGAAGAGGGCTGACTACGTGACGAAGGGAGCGTTATTTCTGCTTAATTAGATAGTTGCAATCATGTGGAAGCTTTCTGATCATATCTTGTATGTGACAACTTTTGTCGTTTTGTTTCCTGTAAAATTGATGCAATGCATTATATTTTGGCATAAAATGAATTAGAGTTTTAGCTATCCACACCTCGGAGTCACTTTCAGTCTCCTTGCAAGTCTATTGGATTTTGTGAGAACTTTTAACGAACAAAAGTTAATTTTAGTGGATTGACTATTTGTGGATAAAGTGGTCGCAAACTTTAAAATATAGCAGTGTCATCTTGGAGTATCCTCGTCGTAATTTCTGGTTATTTTAATTAATTTTATGCTTAATTGCTGCAACATTCTACCGTGATCAAAAAGAGCATATGACAATCATTTTTTTCATCCTCACCTCCAGTAATGAAGGTCCTCACTTGTCTCGAAATCAGAAAACTTATAATAAAGTTGATTTTGAACTCCCCTCTTACAATGACACACTCTGGATACCTTAACTGCGCCCAAATCCATTGGATCCTGACCAAGGAGATACGGTTCCCGATCTTAAATATCCCTTCTACAGACTGTGGCTTATTGACTGCCCAAACCTCTCGGAGGTCTCGGAGATGGCCATGCGGGTGTACAGTGAGGCAACAGCAGTGCCTTACCTGGGCCGTTTTGTAGTCTACGCGCGTCGTCACCATCCTGAAGAGGCACGTATCCGTTGCGTCTGCCTTACCGACGACTCAGAGCAGAAGACTCTTGAGTGTCAGGAGGGCTTCGAGGTTGTGGCTCGCAGCGGAGAAGGCGGCATGTCTTCCGAACTCCCCACCACTAGTGCTGATTCCGAAGGTCTGGTGGAGTTTCTGCACAACCGGCCCGTGTGGCTCGAAACTGCGGGTAATCTTGTGCCTGTCGCTGCTTCCCATGCCGCCTCCACCACAGATATCACTACCGTGGTCGATCAACTGCGCTTCCCCAGCATCCGCGCCTTCGAGGAGAACCGATTAAACGTGCTCCTACGCATCAAAGATCTAAACTCTCCTCCTGCTGGCCATTTGGCCTTCATGCCACAACAGAGGCAGCCTGGGTGCGTGGCCTTATCATTATAACCTCCTCTTCACTTTCTCGAGCATTTAATTTTACTGTTTCGCTCCCTTCCAGTGGTGTTTCCGTGAATCCTCTTTGCGTTCTTGATCTCCTGCTTCCGCGCATGGTGGCAAGTTCTATTTCTGAGACGGAGGTATCAGCTAGGCGACACTCCTCACAGAAGGGCACTGCTACAGCAGCCACTGGTACAGGTGCAACTGCAGCCTCTTTGGGGAATTTTTTCAATAGCAACGTCAAACACAGCTCTTCGGATGAAGGTGAGCTCACCCCTTGCCCATTTGCCACTCTTATTTTCAAGCACTTCTTGCTACTGTTGACTGCCAACTTTAGATTGTGGTTCTGTTGGCCATCGCTATGGCAAATGTCGTAAGTAACCTTATGCTCGTTAATAATTACTAACGCGCCATCCCCTCGGTATTAATATCCAAGTATATCAAGTACCCTCACTAACCCTCCCTCTGTGCACACTCTAGGGATGGTGGAGTCGATAGCGCGGTCGGATTTGGATGTGAAGAAGGTTGCCGTTAACTTGGGCGCAGATTGGGTCTACCTCGCGCCGTATTTGGGCCTCTCGGCGCAGGATGTCAGCGACATTCGGGCCAATGGGGTAGACAGTGACTATAAAATGGCCCTGACGTGTCTAACTCTTTGGCAGGAGAGAGCTGGACCTCAGGCTACGGGTAGGAATTGATTGTGAATTGGCCTCAATGCTATGGAAGTAGACCGAATTCGTGGGATTCTGCCAGCCCCCTTAGTCCTTAAATCATGCCTATTAGAGTTGGTTGAGATCATTTGATAAGCCATGATTTGCACAAGTGCATTTTATATGCCTAATGGATCCATTTAGATGGGAAAAAATAGCTGGATAATGGTAATTGGCAAGATAATACCAACGCTTTTAAACATCCCTCTTTGTTAGTTTTACTGGAAACAGCTCACTTTGTTCTATAGACTTTCCATTTGGATAACTAAATAAACCCTATTTCGAATCCATCCATCTTTGTGGTTTTAAAATAACAAATTTACAATATGTCCTGATTTTCTTATCTGATCTCGTAGGTTAAAAAAGGAGTTAATTAGGTTGGCAAAAGGCAATTGAATACTTACCGTTACGCTAAAACAACAAAGCATCTACGCGGCTATTTTGGTTTATTTCTCCCTGAGACAAAGTCCTGGTATTGAAAGCGTCAAATGCCCATCTACCACATAAGGCGTGAACAAGTTGGACTAAAGGTTTTCACCATGGCGGCTATTTCGACAGATACCAGCATACTTTAAGGTCTTGGCTAGCACCGGCTACCAGGACTGCATGTTGTGACAAATTAAACACAGGATTACTGCTACCTTTAGCAACTTCTATTGGGGAAGCACGCTAGTGCTTTTGACTTCAATGCAATTGTGGATTTAACGAGTACAGGCCCTCTTGTAGAATGGGAAATTGGAATGTGGGTGCATGAGTGCGTGAGAGCTTGGAGAATTGGAAACTAGAAGTAACAGCGAGGGCATTTTGTGGTATTGCCTCTAAGTGTGAACCAAACCTAGGGAGAAATGTGCACGAGAAAAGGCAAGGGAAGGAGTTGGCACATCACACCATCTCGACAAGCAGGTTGACAGGCGTGAGAAGGTACAGAAGTAATTCAGTATACGTGCAGAGAACAAGTTGTGTGGTCACCGAGTGTTACTGACAGTGACTCCTCTGGCATAAGAGTGGAAAATAGGGGAGAAATTGCAGTGGTAGGAGAAGGAGACTTTAGTGAAGCAAAAGCAGTGTTAACGATACTAATGCAGTTGAAAAAAATTTAATAAAGGATGTGAATTAAAGCGGCAGACACTCTGGTACTTTTTCTTAAAGGGTCACTGTCAGAACCGCCCGTCCCTTGTAAAGGAGTCCCTTTTGGGGAATTTGACTCAATTTTAAGACGGGAAGCGATCCTTTGTGCATACAGCCATTGTTTTTCCTCACACACCGGTATCGTAATTTCTTTTTCTAAGTCCTCACAATCAGATAAACTGTGAAAAATGTGGTTCGCAAGCGGACCATTTCGTAGGTGACGCAAGGAATGTCCTGTAAGTTAGCACACCTTTCCAATTAGTTTTTTTTGTCTCACGTGAAACATCCCGGTCAAATATGTTTACCTCTCCATCCGCTCACCAACTCATGACAAGTGTCAGTGGCTTCATGCGCCATGTTGGCGAAATTTGAGCTCCCGAGAACACGAATAGCTTACTTTTCAAGAAGAGAAAAATCCCCCATTCCGCTTTGAGGAGAGGGATGGCTCGTACAGGGATGGAGAAGTCATCGTCAATTTTAGTCGTGAAATTTTATCGCCACCGGCTCTGGTTTTGTGGAAACAGTAACACTTGCGTACGCACACCCGTTAAGCGCCGCTTCAGTAGATGCACACTGCGCAGGGACATTTTAGAGGTGACACTGGCACCTATCGGATTGGTAGGTTCAAGGAGACACCTCTTGTAGGCTATATCTGGAAATCGAGTGTGTTTGGAGAATGGAAATTGTTCCTGTGGTTGTCCCACAAATCCGTCAAGGGGGTAGTGTGACGTTTGGCGCCAGTGTTTTGGTAAGCCTAGTTGACTATTTTAGCTCTGATAAGCTGGTGTATTGAAAAACCCAACTTCATTACCCATCTGCTTGATGGCGTGTCAAGGCTGCAAATCGCTCGTTTACTTCCACCCCATTATTGTTTACATGCGACAATAATGAATGCGTATTCTGATCTCGGGTATCCATTTCACAATCACATCTGCTTAATGCTTTAAGTTGAGGATCGACAGGTTGAGTTTCTTCCGGGAGAACGCTATCGAGGCAAATGGATAAGCGAGTCAACATCCAGAAGGAGGTCACATAACCATTTAATTCAAACAAAATGCTTCTATTGTCACGTTCTTTTGTGGCAAATTTCAGCCACTTCTTAGTCTTATCTCTTATCTAACAGTTAAAATTCATGGCTCTTAGTAGTGGTGTTAGTACGAGATTGTTACTGACCCCTTATCAGTAAGCTGACCTCTTCCCCTCTTTTTAGGAACGGCACTAGCACACGCACTGAAGCAGGCCGGTCGTGAAGACGTGCTGCGCCAGAGTATGCAGAATATCAGCCTCGTACAAACCGACCCTGAGCTCTCGCACGCTCTGCGTAGTCTGGAAGCTGCAGACAAAGCGCCGACTGTCGGGCAAGTGGAGGGTGAAAAGGCAAAGGAGATGATTACAGAGAAGGTGGAGGTGGAAGCAAAACCGCATCAAGGTGTCATTGAACCGGCAATTGTTGATGATGGAGTGCTAGAGATGGCCATTTCACCACCTACAGAAGCTTCACCACAGCATAAAGAGACCAGCAGTGAGGAGAGGAAGGCCGCCCTAGAGGCTCTGGCCGTCCAACTGAACGAAGACAGCTTTGAGTTGCCTAGCGCAGCGGGTCCTGCCGATACTGGTGACACTGATGGTGAGTGCCACGATCCTTTTTCTGACCCTCCTTTGATACTGAATGCGAGGAAAGCTAACTTTTTCGAAAATCTGAGTTGTTAACTGGAAGCGACTTCGTTATAATATTTTGATAGTATGAGGAGGAAAATGAAATCACGAAACCGAGTTTTGGCTCTTTTTATCATGGTTGAAAATTGAAGGAGTCGTTTCAGATGAAGATGTAATTCTGATCTTGTTGTACATTCTTCGTCCATCATCGACAAGTTTGACCAAAGATGCCTGAACATAATCAAGCATGTTATGTTTCAAATTAGGTATTTTTTTAAGTTGAAGTTTATTTTACCCAATTTATTTGCTTCATCTTTCTGATTTTAAAATGTCCTATTCCTGTCAGGAAAGATTTTTATCACTTTTGAACTTCACAGGGACTGTTGTTTCTCAAATTAAATAGATGTGATTTGATTTACCTGTACTTTATGTTTACTGGGATTCAAAATAAATACAGCCAGCTCTTTGAAGTTATTGGCCTGTCCTTCTTCAGCCTAACCAATTCCACTTGGAAATTGGTTCCATGTAAGTAAAGAAAAATACATCACTATTTCCAAGATTTTGTGTCCATTTTTTATCATAGGTGTCAGTGAAAAGGAAGTCGTGGCTGTGGCAGTGAAACGAAATGTACAGTTGGAATCTGCAGTCCCCGCCTTTTTGCTGGAAGAGATGCGACAGCAGGAGGATACTACGTCCACTCTTGATGCCGCACCTCGCAACGAGCCGTTCGATATCGATGTTGATACTGCTTCCACCACTGCCGTGGTCGGAGTCGAAGGTGTGTTATCGCTACTCCTCTAGACATTGGACGAATTTCTGGTGCTCATGAAACTTCAGATAGATCCTCCTTGGTGTGTAGCCGTATCCTTGAAGAACCTTAAATCCTTCTAGTATAACTGTCGTTTGAAGGTGAAGTGAAGGACTGCGATTTTGAAACAGACCTACAGAAGTCATTTGCGCTCAGTTGTGCCGAACTCAAGTGTTCTTTGTTCGATTTAAACACAAGAAATGGGGGCCTATGAGCGTGCTGAAAGCCCCTAAAAACGATTACTGTAAAGTTGTGACACCTGAATGTGGAGGTAGAAGGATATAAAGGTGTTTAAAAAGTCAGGGAGATCATAGGGGGGAATGTATTTTGATATGGTGGAACGGGTGAGTAGCACATAGTTACCTACTTAAAATCCATCTTTTCTATTTTAGGTAGCACCTTGATCAGCACACCTACGGATGGTAAGACTGCAACCATAAATCTACTCTAGATGTTTGTCTTATTTTGTCATCTCTTAATAGCAGTAGAGTGGGGAATGTTGTGTTCTTGCTCTTGCCGTTGTCCTCTGCTCCATTTCACCGCCTGAATTGCAGTAACGCATGTGCACTAGCGTACATCCACATGCACTCGAGTGAGAGTGAGAGACAGCTAATGTTGCCACCGCCTGTCCCGCCTTGCCTATCCCTCTTCGCCTTCACCTCCTCCTCCTCATCATCATCATCCTTATGAGCTGCATCAAGCACCGCTCCTCCTCCCTTTCCACGCTCTCACGTGTACACGCGTCTGCTCCCTAAAAGGAGGTAATTTTTCATTTGCTTTTTTCCCCCTAACTACTCCGCACTTACTCGCTCTTCCTTACTGAGATATTTCGCGCATTTGTTTTTTGGCTTAAAGGAAAACCTCAGGAGACCGAGAAATATCTTGATCGGTGTAGCTTTATGCATGCCATGATTGGAATGGCTGGCTAAGTAGGATTTTTCGTGTCCATTTTTACAGACAAGCACCTCTGATCAGTGTTTTTTGTTAGTTTAATTTTTTTATTTCGAGTGCTAGTTTCCATTGGTTGATAAGGGTAGGCTGAGAGTTCTTTGGGTGATTTCAGTAGAATAACTACCATATGAAACTGATCTTTGAGAATCTTAAAACAGTTTTGTCTTCACATTACTCAGGGCGATTTTAAATCCGGTTACGACTCGTGACTGGTTAGGTATAGTTTAAACTCACTGCGGTGATAGAACGACTGAGTGATTGATGAATGTCCCGCAGTTAGTTGTGTCCATAAGCTATCCTTTTGCTTAAAATGAGACACCTTGATTTCTAGACTGAGGTTAAGATATACAATCTGTCGGAGTATTAATGTGGGAGTGTGTGCGTGCTAAGAATAACATGCTGATAGCTAACCTACTCTCCAATTTTTGGCCGAAAAACTAACCGCAGGAAACGACAGTGTCCGGAAACCTAGTGGCTGCATCGCTTAACACAGTTTAACGAATATTTTATCCATATTGGTATATTCCTAACTCTAAGTAATGCAATTAATGAAGTGATTTGAAGAAGGAATTTTTGATTTGTCAGTTTTTCATTAGTCAAAGCCTGTATTCCTCGCATGAATTAAAATGTGTTTTGGGAAAATGCTACTACTACAAATAAGTAGCGGCCTTCCAATCGAAGCAGCCGAATTCCATTTTCGGACTATTGAGAGCCTAATTTTATCCAAAAAGCCACAAATAAACTCAGATTTTGAAACCAGTAGATACCAAATTTGGTTTTTGCATGCCTCTTATGGGTCTGTCTCTTCGTGGCCGTACCCGTCTTAGTTGATCTTGTTCAGAGGCTAAATCAGAAGCCCATTTCCCGATTTTCTAACATCTTTTTATCATCAATCCTACATTGGTTCTTATTATGGTTCCCCGGCCAATCTCTCTAGAATTAATAGCACTTGAGCGTCATTTGCATTTTTCGCATATAAGGGACTCAGTCTCGCATACATCTTTCCAAAAAATCATGTCCACCACTTCATTTTGCATTGCTTGTAATTAATTACCATTTAATGAACGAATTTCCCTCCTGGTTCTTTTAGAGAATGCACGAAAACCATCGGTGCATGCGGAGTTAACTATATCGGGGTTAACCCAACCGACGCTCGAACGGACTCCCGAGATGGCTTCTGAGGATGGTAAATCCCTCTGGATAGCTCCTGGAGACGCCAAGGAGTCCTCGACCAATGGTGACCTTGAAGCAAAGGTGGAGGCGGAGGTGGAGCAGGCGGTGGCGATGGAGTCAGTAGAGGCGCAAGGTGATGTCATCATCCAACCCGTGGCGGTACCGATGTGCGGTGTGTCCGAGGCCACATGGGGCAGGGCACAGTCGCCGCCCCCCTCGCCTGACTTTGACATTCCTCTGATTGTGCCCACTGTAGTTGAGAGGCTAGGTGAACGCGAAGATACCTGGGGCAAACCCCAACAGTTGGACTGAGTATCTTGTCTCGTTCTTCTCTTTCCGTCTCCTTTTCTTTGCTTCTTTTCGTTTCTATTTCGTTTTCTTTGGCTACCTATCTCTGATCAAGTAAACACACTGACGATTGGGTTATGACGGTAGTCTAGCGTACTTTGATCTTCTTTTTCTTCTTGACGCTCCTTTGTTTTCGTTTTATTTTTCCTCTACGGTTTTGGACTTAACCGCGTGGTTTTCATTCGCATAACGGAGTTCTCGAAGTCTCGAAGGGGGGAGAGCCCTATTTCACGCCTGCCCTCTTGAATCGCGTTTTTGCAATGATTTTTTCAGTCAAATTTTTTTTTTTGGATTTTTATTTAGTGACAACCGCGTTCTGCTGTTTATTGTTGCGGTGAAACCGCCAGTATCTCATCCATTCCTTCATACCCCTTTTTCACTAGCTCATCCTTAATGGAGTACCAGTCGTGGATTTCCACTTCATGTCATCTGGCAGCTGTCATCTTTACTATTATTTGAAACATCAAATGTTCTTGTCTTCTTTCATTTCAAAATCTCTCCTTGCGAGTCTCCCAAGTTGTTGGTGAGAGAATTGGTTTGACGGTTTGAGAAGGGCAGATCTTCCTTAAGCTTTTGCCCCGGATTCTTCAAACCTCGGTTCGTCCTTGACCTTGAAAACGTCATTTTTGCTGGCGGTTCTTTCATTAGTTCTTTGGATTTCTGGGACAATTTCATTTTATTTTCTCCCCAAAATTTTTTAATTTTAGGCTATTTAAGGTTTTTAATAATCAAAGTCAATGTTTGTTTGGATTAGGTTGTATTATTTAAAGGCAGTTATTTTTAGCGACTGAGTTTCATGAAGTTCTCGTCTGCTGTGATCAAAGACCAATTTGTTTACTAAGGCGACATGCAAATGACAACTGAACAAGCGGTCAGGCTAAAGCGTGTCTGTTCATGTGACTGCTTGCGTGTGTATTGGCGTGCTGGATTGACTGACTGAGTGAACCCGAGCCCAACGCTCCACCTTTTGTGTGAATTATTTGGAGGTTTTGGCGGCTCTCTCGATTCCTCGAACACAATGTACACAGAAGCCAAGTCACCTCAGTACCTGCCACCACAGGAATCCGATTTCATTGGTCCTCCCACACCTCCCGAACGTACTTACAGCCATTTTCAACACCATCATTCACCCGTTCAACTTGGATCTGCTGCCTCGCCGTCATTGTCTTCATCTACTCACCTTTCTATCACCCGCACGATTTTGGAGAAGTCCCTCGACCGTCCATTGCCTCCGTACGTTCCCCCACACCTCACCGAGATGGACATCTCCCCAGCCGAGTCCACAGAGACATTTCGTGCCGACTTTACAACTCAGGAGGATTATACTATCCTCCCCACCGCTCCGACTGATTCCATCATTTCGGGAGAGTTTGTGCTGGTCCGTCAGACAATTGACGATTCAAACACACCGCGAGTGAAACAGGACACAAAGATGATAGTGCCCGTACCCCTCCATGCCACTACTAGCCTTGGTCAAGGCCCCCTCATCGGACCTGGAAAGTGTCGCGTTACCACGGAGTCGCGACAACAGGCCTTTCTGGATGGTCACTTTCGACTGCGACGCTCTGCTGCCAGTTCGAGAAGACACGAGAAGAAGGAGGAGGTGGAACAGTCACCACCCGAACCACCAAGGAGAACGACCTCGTTGCGCAGTGGAAGCACTTCGACCCTCGCCAGTATGGGTGAGAGCACCTCACCAATGGAGTGACGTGACTGCGGACTAACCAAACAATTCTCTAATCCCTCCTCCATTCGTGCACTACTGTTGATGATGCCTGCTGATCTGCACCATCTCTTATCGAAGCGACTTAGCTGTGTTCTGTTGCTGTGTGCATGTACGCGTTTGCTGGTGTGTCTAGCCCTCTATCTATCTCCCCTTTTCAGGTCTACCTCCTGACGACTCGTTCTGTTTTCTCGGTTGCTTGCTGTACGCGTAGACCACTATTAACGTTGTTAGTAGTATTAGTAATAACAGTAGCAGTTAGTCTGTTTTTGTGGGTAGCTGAGGAGAGCGACGCCGAGGGGAGGGAAGGCGGATAATAGCAGTGTGTGTTGTTTTATCACAAACAGTGCCCCTGAGACCGCGGCAATCGAGTCATAGTCCCATTCCGGCTGCTTCATCACCAGAGGACTCCCAACTGCAAAGCATTCCGCTGTATGTAGCCAACCCGCTAGTCGAGTCGCCTGTGGTAGACTCCTACATCGAATCCTATCTCGTCTCCTCCTCCCTCCCTCTCTCTTTTTCCTTCACCACCAACAACTTGCCCCTCACACCCATCCCCGAGGCCTCCGAGTTCTCCCTCCGATCGTCCTTTGCTAGTACGGTAGCTACTGGACCCATTGGAAGTTCAAACGGTAGCATTCCACGTTCTACTGGGCGTAGAATTCGCGACATCTCATCGGCACAGCTGACGCCTCTACCACCGAATTCTCTCCGCTCTTCGCTTGAAAACAATCCTTTCGATCAACTAGTGGAAAACCAGATGAAGGGGGGTTTTACTGGCCCCTCAAGTTTGGGTTCCTCCTCACTTAATGAGTTTCTTCGTCTGGAGGAGCAAGAGAGCTTGACAGATGACCTGGAGAAGCAGCTGATGGAGGGACAGGGAGATGACCGCTCTTTAGTGGAATCGGTGGTGGAAGGCATGCGAAATGTGGAGGAGGGGGAGGGTGAGACGACGAGTTTGTCTCGGTCCCTGGGTCCCTCAATTCTCATGGGGACGGATTCCACTTCGATGCTGTCCTCGTCCTTTGAAATGGCGCCCTCGTTTGCATCTTTGGCACATCCTGGAGCTGGTATGGGTGGCTCGACCTAACTTTCCGTCCTCCTTTTGCCACTCTGTCTCTTCCTTCTTCATGTGTGTTGAAAACCAACTCTGTCTGGCCGCCTAACCTCGACTAATGCTGCTGCCCCCCTTTCCTAATTCAATGTCAACCGTAGTAGTTGAATGGACTGTGAGTGGATGGTTAGTTTGTTGTTTGGGTGGCTGGAGGGGGTATCGCGTACGCACACACTAACGCACCTCCCAGCTTTGCACTAACAATTCAGCACTGCAGATTTCGGATTAACTCAACACACTAAGAATAGGTGCAGTGACTCCAATGTCTTTATTTGTTTTTTTTTTTTCACCTTTTTAGACACACAACGACACTGAGTTTGCAGCCGCGACTTGTGAAGCATTTTGGTGGTGTGCTTTGAGGAGGGTGGTCGTGTTGCTCTTAGAATCTCTCTTTTTCGAATCCTCTTTTTCTCTTTCTTTCCTCCCCCTTTTCACCTTTCGTTATCCTTAGACTTTATTGTAGTTTCTACTGCTGCTGTAGCCGCCGCATATCTCTCTCTCTCTATGTGTGTGTGTGCTTGTGTTTCGAATTTGCATTCCTGCTACGTCGCTACGAATATCTGTGCAACAATTGTTTCAATGCCTTAAACTAACAAGCTTTACCTCTTCCCCCCTCTCCCTTTTTCCCGCCCCTCCTTCTCCTTTCCTTGCACACTCTCTCCCTCCCTATACTTAGTTGGTTTCCAGCTTGTTTATGCGTGTGTCTGAGCTCATGTTATTTCTGATGGTTTCGTTATTAATACAAATTAAACTATTTATCATTTTTCCATAAAGTCTCTATTCTCTTGAGAGTTGGCTGCAAGCTTTGTCCGAATCAGACCAAGAATTTCACTCAGATGAATAAAAAGAGACAAACTTTTAGGCTTTGAAACTGTTTTTAGTTTTTTTTTTTAACGCAGTCCTCTATATTTGCGCGTACAACCGTCATGGCGATGAACTAGTTACTCGGAGAGCTTCCTCACGATTCAATTCCCCTGAGATAGCCTCATTCACTCCGAGGTACTCTTTTTAGACATTGAAACGGGGTTTGGTCTGCGAGCGGAAGGTAGTGACGTCTTCCAGCCTTAGCAAGGGCTTGTAGCTTATCTCGAGAAATATGAGACCTTAGCAATCAAGAGGTGAATGCACGCAATGCTTACTGATGACATTGCGAGGTAGGAAGTGTTCATCCAAAGAAACGCCCGCTATCACTACCGGTGGACGCAAATGGTTGAATTCCACATGCTTCCACCAAATTGATCTTCATTCTAGTAACGAAGTAAGATTAAGCACCCACATTTCATTGCATGGAACGACATGAACCTTGTCGAAATAATCCTTTAACTCATCGCAGAGTTCACTTTCCCTAATGGTGGTCCACACCCAGAGTTGCTGACCCTTCGAGAAGAATTCGTCTCTTTCGGTACTTTACGACAGTTTATGCATCAATCAAACGTCCAGGATCGGGGGAATTCTTCTGGACTGTTAGTTTGGAATGGAAGGAGCACTATTGCTGTCACACGCGATTGATCGTCTTCACAGCCTTTACCGTTCTCAGGTATCTCATCACCGCTAAGCACACCACCACTGTGCTGTGCTTGAATTCTTCTACGGATCCAAGCGTCCGCTCACGAAGAACTTCACCAACTCCGCACTCTGCCGCATGCAACACCACTGCTGCTTGCCATCGGGATCAACAATGTCTGGTCGGGCTCCGGGGTGGGGGGAGCACTTGCTATCTCTCACTGTAGCACGTTTATTTGCACCAGTTAATATTACCAAACTTAGTTTGAATTGAACTTCTATAGTCTTCCAGCTCTTCTGTTAGAGGATTACAAGCCTCCGTTTAGATTTGGATGGCCTACAGCATCACCAAGGCGGAATTGAGTGCCACATTCTCAACTCGAGTCACAAACTTAATTGAATTGAAAAGATGTTGTTGTTTACAATCGCCTGATTCAGTGATGACAAGAGGTAAGTAAATGGCAACATCAGCTTTTTTTCCCATAGGATTGCATAGTTGAATCCCCAAATTAACTTTTGACGAAAGGCAACACGACAAGATGATGCAATAGGCGTCACTTTGACAGCTTCTCCAGTAAGAAAGGAGAGTTTTTTGTTGGTTAAGGGATAAGAGCTGGTCAGCTTGTATTTATTTAGCTTAGCAGTTGTTTCTTCTGACAAAAAACCATCTACTCCTAGTTTGGCTTGTTAAAACATCCACAAAGTGTTGTCTACACCCGAACTCAACCGTTCAGTGATCGAGATATGGTGTCTGGTGTATGGCAAAGATTCACAGGACAAGAAAGCAATTGCGTATTCGACACCTTCTAAATTCACAGTTCAAATGAGCGGTTTTCTGTGGCAGAAATTTTGCATCATCCTTTGAGTGTGTACGGGGGATCATAAACGGTGATGGTAGTAGAAGTTTCAGCTTGCAACGTTTAGGTAATTGAATTTGAGTGTTGAAGTTGCAGTCGTAGATGCATTGCATTGCGCTCGAGATGACGCGGCAATGCCTCTCCTCCACCGGTGATCCACGTCCGTCCCAGTCTATGGGATGTTAGGGGCAAAAAAATGGTACAAACAATCACGTTTAACCTCGAGCTTACGTGGAACCGTTGAAAGGCGGTGCTAGTACCGTCTCGTTGCTGGCACTTACTTGGCGTTGCGATCCAAAAAGATCAATGCACATTTTCAAGTAGTCAAGCTAAAATTATGGGCTCTTGAAATCTAAGAGGACAAAAGTTGCCAGATTTATTGTCGAGAGGGTCTTGCATGCCCTTGGCGATATATCTGAATGCTTCGAGAGATCTGATTGGGTCCCATTGAAAAATGCCATCAATTCAAAGTTTCGAAAAGCCAAGGCAACATTCCTATAGCAGTTGGAATATAGACCGCTTGGGGGTAATGCACACTAAATTCCTCATCACTCTACACTTTAGCTTCCCCTAATTTCATCCTTTTGGTTTGGGAGAACGAGTATGGATTTAAGAAGGCTTTATATAAAAGTTAATTGGAGGGAAATTGAGCTTTTAGTGATAAAGAAAACAAGATAGTCACAACCCTTACTCAAGCTGACAGCTTTTAAATGGCACTACTGAGAGGAATTGATCTGAAATCTTTTTGAATATCAGCGTTATAGTCTGCCCAGCTCAGCAGCGCCTACACTGTATGCGAAGAATGCGATTTTAACCTTCCAAATAAACTGAACGCAGCCCCACAGTCACTCCTGACGCCACAATAAGCCATATCAAAAGGGCTGAGAGAATGTAGGTGTGGCAAGAACTTTAAGGTTTAAATACTTAAGTGTTTAAGTGAACAGATAAATCAACCTAGATTTCAGTCCTCCCATTGTCGCTCTTCCGTTTCGACCAACACAACGTGGACGATGCTTTAAGAATCACCCACGGGTTAGAATCAGCCCGCAGTCATTTAAATTTTATGGTGGCGGGAGGGAAGCCATCTAATTCCAACATCAATGGTGCTCTTTGTCGAATTTGTTGTATTCAGAATCTCTTCCGATCTGTGACATGCCTTAGGAGGGCGGGATTCGCTGACCTTGTAGTGTTAGAGGCTGGATGATGCTATACAACCAGTCCAGCTCATTTCCCAATCACAAGTTGAAAGAATATTTGCTAAGAAGTGGAATTGAAAGTAGCCTCACAGAACTCTGTGTCCTTTCTTTCTTGCTGCTTTGATCCATGCAATCAGGAAAGACGTAGGGGAGATAGCAGTTGTTTTCCGTAGGCAGTTCAAATCCCCACTTCTAGTATCGTCAATCATCTTCGGACAAAACAGGAGAGTAAGGCGATTAGCAAAAGTGGACGAGGCTTCAATAACCCTTCTGATAGGTGTCCTCTCTACGTGAAGGTAACGCAATCAGGATGGTTGTTCTTTTGGAGTAGATTTGTTTATCGGTGCTTCAAAATGTAGCAATCGAGTCATTCCTGATGTCAGTAACGGACAAAATGAATGGAAAGGGATGAGCATGGCAGAGGAGGAAACAAGTATCCAAGTTTTACACATCCACGTGGAAGAGCTGAGGTGGGAAGAAGAAGATGAGTGTGGAGCAAGCAATCGTTCATTCCCTCTATTCATCTGCCTGTCCATTCATTCACTCATCTGTCCATCTGTAGGCACCCATAATTTGTTACTCCTTACCGCTGTAGAAATATCAGATCGTTCCTTGGAAATCGTGGGCATATTTTAATCTTCCGATCGAGAAAATACCAAACTTTTTTTTCTATTTTGCACCAACTGATCCGACTAGTGCTTGTCATAAAGCGATAACACATGCTTGTCACCCATGTGTGACGGGAGGACTTGAGCTAAAGAAACGGCAGAGGTACATATACTCGACGTCGCTAAAAATATGTTACGGATATTCCTTTAATAAAGCAACTTCTTTAGGGTCATTAAAAGCAATTTTTAATACGTATTCTTGATTACTAATTGAAACTACTCAAAAAAAGTAGCGGAGCAAATTGACACTCATAAGGGTATAAACAAGAAGCCTGAGGTGGTATCGAGTTTTCCGTTTTGGTTCAAACCACTGCGGTCTGCGCGGTCATTGAAAAGGCACATAATCACTGTTTTTATTTTGTGGAGAAATCCTTAAAATTGCAAATAAATTCCCGGTATATGGTAAATTGCTTACAGCTGTTGAACTTTTAATGTGATAAATTAATTGAAAAGGCAAGTGAAAAAGAAGAGTTAGTGGACTTCTAACCAGGAGGTATGAAGGTCATTTCACCATTGCCTTGTCAAGTTAAAAGTCCTTTTCAAAGAGCATTTGACAATACCCTGTAAACTCTAAAACAAGTTGCGTCAAACTAACAGCAGAAAGAACTAGCCCTTTGACTATATTATTCTCAGACTTTTCCGACGCCGGCACATAGTCAATTTCTGCCCCCCCAGAAACCATTAGGCCTTGGAGGGTACGTACGTGACAATCCACTGTCCGTAAATGTTAAAATTGGCTGATGACAGCAGAGAGACGGCTTACGTTGGAAAAGAATAGACTATACATGATGGACATGTTCCAAGGACCGAGAATACGACCAGCGACACTCGGCATAAGGACTAGGTGGCAAGCAAATTGGAAGAGGAGCACAAACACTCAGGTAGGTTAGATGACCCTAAAATTGTTCGGAGGGATAATGAACGGAAATGTTCCACACTTGGCTAAAAAAGTAAAATGATGTTAGAATAAGATGCTCACCTTGAATAGAAGCCGGTTATAAAGCATGTCCGAGCGATGCAACCAATGCGGTTGAAGGTTGACGAGGTGATTACAATGGAAACTAGGGCTTAATAATCGGAAACCACTACTTCTTTTTCATTAGCCTAAGAATAGCAGGGCAGCATAACTGGCATACCTTGAATGTAGATGACTGCAGCGTTACCATGACAACAGTAATCAAATTTATACGCCAAATTCAGTCGTAAACCCCGACATCATTGCGACCGGCCGGTTAAACTCACAAGGGCAAGCTTACGAAAATAATACATAGATTTCGCATGAATGCCTGCACTGCTTCGAATGTTCCGAGAATAGATTCGTCATTTTTATAATCAACGCCTGCTCTTAATTAAAAAGACATAATATAAGGTCGAGTTCATGGGGAAATCGCCTCATATTTGCGCATACACTGTTTCCGCCTGTCTTTTATAGACAGATCTAAGCAAACTGCCCTCACCTTTAAAAGAATGAACCCACACTCAAGTAATTGAATCGGTTTGACGTAGATCACATCACACAAGGTTTTCAGGTCTATCTTTGTGGGAAAGTAGCAGCCCAATTAGTTGCATGCCTGAATTAATGCCGCCAAAGATCAAGAAAGAATTGGAAACGCGTTTAACAACGCTGGCGCTGAAGCAGAAAGTAGGAACAATAAAATCTAATCATATGACAGAAACTCGCTAGTTTACCTTTAACCGGTTATTCGGATTCACGTAGGCTGTTTGGATTGGAGTAAAAACAAGGGTCCCAAGTCCATAACCCAACAAAAGTTAACAACCAAATTAATGAATCTATTCTTGGGCATATTTGCTGATGGAGCAATGAAGAGCAGCTTAGGAGAAGTTTAAGCTTATCGAGTAAATGTATTGTCAGCCCACATGCCAGCCGGTATGCATTGCTAAAATTGTCGGTACACGGAATCCAAATACTCACTGCGAAATGTCCGCAATAGACATTATGATAGGTTAGAAAGCCAGAGATGAGGAATTACATTTAACTTTCCACTAGTTTTGTGCCTGTATAAGCAGTCAAATGAGGACTCATTTCGCCTATAAAGCAAGTGGCTTTTTGAGGATTGGTACCAGGCTTCTCACGATAGCACAATAAATTCCAAGAAAAGTGGAATAAAATGCATTCATTACATAAAACGCGCCTAAAATGAGCGGTTCCCCCAGTTTTGGCGATAACAATGACAATGTAAAGTCGCGTTATTTGTATCAGAGCGCTTCATAAATTATTTAAACAAGTCATTTTGTTCCATTATCTGTGGTAAGTTAAACATATATTTAAGCAGGTAATGACTGCTAAAATATGGTGAGAAAAAGGCTCTGCTTACATTAGTTGCGTTTTTTAAAACACTTCATTGGAAGGTACACAAGCTTGTTAAAAGCCATTTGAACCTTGCACTAAGCCTACTATGCATTTCAGCGCAAGTATCCACGCCTTACTCAAACCACAATACCGTTTCTATAGCCAGGCGAATAAAAGTAAGGGCAATGAGTCCGCCGCTACACCACGAACAGTCTCCCGGAGTAGTTTCTGACGGCTCATTCAATTCCATGCAATCAACCCTATCACTGGGCTCCCAACCTCCAGGGTGTCGGCACTGTTTAAGCCCCGCCAACGACATGAATTGCAGCGAGAATCCCCTCCCCCACTTCAAGGGTGCTCAAATTCTGCATTTCACCATGCTACCACGCCACCCGCCGCATATCACGCCAAGCGGCAATCCAGATGACTCCCTCTCTTTGATGGTAGAAGCAGAAGCCAGAGGCATAAACAGCCAATCCCCAAGCTACACAGACTACCACCATGTAACACGACGGAGCTTAAACACTCCGCCAACCAAGAGTACGCCAAGGCCGAGATTGACAAGAGCACACCAGGACAACCTAATCCACACCCGGATACTCAAATCCTCGCAGAACAGTGATTAAACTGGGAAAATATATTGAAGTTGATTACAAACCCGCATCTGTGAAATTGCCCGATTGAAGTCTGCGATGCAAATGAATAGTAGTCCAATCACTCGCTTTTAGCGATTCCGATGATGCCACAGGCAACACGGGCCCCGGCGTTGCCCGTGACCAAGCTTAACTCGTGCCCGCCCAAACCCAAGTCATCCGGATCCACGTGAACCTAGGCAAAGAAAAGAAAAGGGCAAAAGTTTACCATCATCAACTGAGCCAACATTAAATGTGGGGAACTTTGAACCTCCTAGCCTTTGTAGCGGATCCAGGAAATCCGCGCTGCCAAGTTCCTTTTCTGTAAACTAGCGAAGTTGCTGATCTCACCCTCACCGTATTTCTTTATGTGGCCTTCCCAATAAACATGTAACATATTCGCCAATTTCGGTACTTTCCTATTTTATTCATAGTGTTGTCAACATTACTCTTTCTATGATACTAAATCCGAGCAGGTATAATAAAAGGATAGTCTTAACCAAATGCCTTCACCTAGAGACTAGTTAACAAATGAGGCCTGAACAGGTACGGTTCTATTTATTATGCCCGAGTGATAGCTAGAGCCTAAGGTAAACAAACACAGTGCGGCCTTAAAACACCACCATTGTGAGGAAGAAAAGCAGGGCCTACATAGTATTTTTAACAATTAAGGTCACAAACGATCAGCAAATAACTTTTATCCTCGGAACTGGGATGTGGGTGAAGACGAGCAGATCTCTCTGAATTCACCACAATAGAGCTGTGACCTTGGAACTTACTACATTCCCAAATGAGAGCATTATGTAATGCGGCACACAACAACCAGTTGAGTTTGCACACACAAAGCAACCGTTTGAATCGCCCATCAAATACTGCCGGTGATATTTTACAACACTGATTAGTACGTTCCCAACTTTAAAAAATGCAAGTTGTGACGTGTTATCAAATGTGGGTGCATCTGTCCTCGACAGACCGATCGGCAAACGTGCAGTGGTAAAATTGTAAACATCTGCAAGTCATTTCAACGGATGAAAGACTTTAAGAGATGCCACTTTACAATGAAAAGGCAGCGATTCTACTAAAGCATAAATTGAAAATACGTTTACGTTCCTGAGGGATAGGACGTATCTACAGAGGCAACAGTGTTCCCAAAAAAAGTACCAAAGTTGCGAAAAAACACTAGCCATAGTGAGTGAACCCATTATTCTTTCCGATAAGAAATGGGTCTGTATCTACCGTATTAAATGAAGGGAGGTAAGCCATCACGTCACCCCACATCTATACATGAACCTTGTCTATTTGCCCGGGAGAGCAGTCTTAAATTAGAACTACTAATTAGTTTTATGTATGCCTTAAGAACCCATGTTTGTTTGGCTCAGAAAAAGGCCACGAAATTGATACAACTTAGCACATAGCATCAATTTCTAGCCATAAGTCCACTAGTAATATTAGGCTTTATTTAATGCTAACGGCAGCCCGCTCAACGCATGGAAAAGAGAAAGAATCAAACCACGGACCTCAATTAAATACTATGATACATGATCCATCACATTCATCATATCTTGAAAAAGCAATAGGAAAATAAGAAAACCGACAACCTAACCAATTTTTTAAAGTTTTTTCATTAAGTGCAACTTTACTTTGTTGTGTTATAAACTTGTAGCAGATGAGAAAGTAATGGCGTAGAGGCCATTCTGCTACCTCTTACATAGCCTCACCAGTCAAACCTATTCCCTACTTACAACATTCCATTTTTCCTCAAAATAAGCAGCTCTCCTTAAAAAAGATGCTAATGTAGACACCGAACAAGTAATAGCACATACCACAAGGGATCGTCCAATAACTGAGTGCTCGCCACTGAGAGAAATCACTTTATCCGTGAGATCAAGCGTCGCCTTACCGTCGGCACCAGCTACAACGTTCCCAAGGTCCCCAACATGTCGCTCAGCAGCATCAGGAGCACCATGGTTTTTGCCGTGGGGATTAAAGTGGGCACCGGCTGAGGTGCAGCCATTTGTTGTGTCACCGAATTCATGAACGTGAAAGCCGTGCTTCCCAGGCTTAAGTCCCTCGAATTCAGCATGGATTTTAACGCTGTCTCCCTGAAGATAGGGTCGAAAGAAGCGGTGAATAAACGGGTTACAAACCACATTCAGATTGACTCAGCTAACGGAAAAGACTAACCAAATGGGAGTGAAAGATTCAGAAATCACAAATAATGCGAATGAAGACAAGGTGATGTTGAATCGTCCGAAAGAAAAAGTAAAGAAATTGAACCAGTAATGGAACTACGATCGGCCTAATGTCCGCCGCATATTTTAGCGGTGGGAACACTAAGGCCACTGCTTTTGCAAAGGTTAAAATTGGCCGATTTACTTACGACTTGGGTGAAATAAACAACTCCCTTAACGCCTTCTTCGCCTCGCATAACACAGACAGCCTTCATAGCGAAGCTCGAGAAAAGAACGCGAATGCGCCGTGAACCTTGTTGATTTTGCTAGCTGCAACAAACAAAATATGGTTGAAATTTATATAGGAAAAAGGCGTAAAAATCCGAGTATGCTGCTTATTTGGGTAATTCTAAAAGGCGCTACTATCCTAGATGCGAGGGTGGTTGATACCATTTTATGCGTAGACATGATTCTTTTTACGCGGATCACAAAGATGAGCTCGAATTACCTCCAAACCATTAGTTGTCCTGCAATTTATTAAAAACGTCAGTGTTTGTGACTGAAATCAAGCTAAGATAAATTCATCTTCCACCGAATAGCTAATCAATGCAAATCCAAACCTGAAGGCCGGCACCTCATTTACGCCCAATGCTCTTTTGTGCTCAAGAAGCCTTCGACGCATTTAAGTTCTAAGAATAGGAGAAACTTACCTTAATATGGGAATTCTGGTCCATTACTGACACCTGATTTCAACAGAGCATAGCGGTTAGCACCAGAATGCCACAGTTTTTTCTTTGACACAATCCACTAACATTTTGCGAACAATGCGTAGATGAATCATACAAATCTAAAACCGGGTGGATGATTTATGCAGATCACCAATCACTGTTTGTAAGTCTCAGAGTCTTTTTCCGTAACAGATGCCAGCCATACAAATAATTAGGGAAAGATGGAAATGTTATGCTTTTCACAGTCAATGTATTAATCAAGTTTTTCGCTGCACGCAAACATCAGCACAACTTGAGTACTGTGAGATAACCTGGTTTTAATTTTATGTCCAAGGTTACGCAAACTTATTTTTAGTTCTTATTTCTACAAATATTTAAAGATGGTTAGGTGGGCTTATTAGTTTAGAATGGGTTATTCTGAGCTGGTCTGATGAACCAATGGGTTTGCCTCTAAAACAACCTTGAAGTTCGCTTGCGGTAATATTTCGTCATCGGCATGTTTCGCACTTTGCCATGACCATTTTTCGGGCCTATTTCAGAAGTCTTTGTTGCAGTCGGCTTGCGATGGCACCATCTTCACAACTGCACATTACTGTTGTAGGAACAGGAGCTCCTGGAACTCCAAAGAGTATTCTGATATGCACAGATTCTACGCGATATCTTATTAATTGTGGCGAAGGCACACAACGAATTTTAACCGAACACAAGTAACTAAAACAACTTGTCTTACTTGTTATAGATCGAAGGCCTCCAAAATACAACATGTTTTCTTCACAAGAATGTCGTGGAGACATCTGTCTGGTCTTCTCGGCATAGCGTTGACCGTGAAAATGGCTGGGGTAAAGAAGATGTTTGTACACGGCCCTCCCAGTGTTGTATGTTTACGTCGCTGTGTTTACTCTGTGGTATTTTTTGACGGATTCTAATTTATATTATTTTGTCCTTAACTTCTAAGGTCGAATTGATGAAGCTGACACGTCACTTTGCAGATGCTTCGACAACAGAAGTTGGTGAATCAAGAATTACTGCAATTTGGTCCATATTTTCTAGCCTATAAAACAATCTCACCCTTATATCTTCTCTTTAGTACAAAGTAGTATTTTACAGAAGCCAATGTTGGACAGCGATTTCGTAGTAGCTGCATTTGAATTGACTGGCGAGGAATCCATTGAACCCCGTGGGTTGCTGCTTTGTCAAAATTTTGTTTTTCCTCTACTTGAGCAGAATGTTTAAGTCTCGTTCTTCCAAGTGTAGGTGCCAAAGCTGTTCGTGTGGAGTACCCTCCCAAAAGTCAACCAGTATACGCTTACCTATTTCGAGTAACTCATTCTTATGCATTGTAAACACTCATTGCTCTAGGGTCTGAAGTTAAATCGAAAATTGGATCCGGCCAAGTGTGTTGCCTGTGGGGTACCGAGGTGGGCTCTACCTTCTTTCTTCTACTGGCATCCCAATGCAGTAGTTTTTTATCTGTGGCTCCAACCATGTTTATGAAATTATTGCCAAAACTGTAACGTTTCAGTTGTCTGCAAGATGTTCTATGTTATTTTTGTATCCAGTTAGCTTTTATTCAGTCCAGCATAATGAATCACACATTTAACTAAGTTTGTTTATTGAGTTTAGTATGGTGTGATCCACATTCAGTTTTGATACTTATCTTTTGTGCATATACGACAATTCGAAGCCCTACTTTGGAAGAAAAGATCTATTGTTTGATTTATATGTTACTCCCCCCACGATAAAGCTTGAATCCAAATAAGCGTATGAAGCTTCATACAAAGTTGACAAATACATGAAATTTCGTTCATGGAAACCCCCCTGTTGGCCTAAGTATTTAGGATTTATTCGATATCGGTTAGGTGATTCCTTGATTGACCCCCACAAAAATGTTGCAATCTCGTTTTTACTATAAAAGCGTTTTTCTGTTTTACAGCAATGTTATGCATTCCGCCAAAATACGTCAGCTTGTTGAAGGACATCCGCTTGTTCTGGACGACGGTCGCGTTGTAAGTCTACTCCCCTGTCCTCGTAACTTTAATTACATGCGGGCCCAAACACCCTATGCGTATCGCCTTAGCGTGTTTTGTAAAAATTGCAGATTTCACCTGAGGAAGTCACTAGTCAACCCACTACGCCCCGGAATATACTGGGTAAGTTGAATGAATGATAAAGGTAATTATAGCATCGCTTTAAAAACCTGTCCTTCCAGTCCTGCTAACGTTCACCAAATGTGGAGAAGTTAACTAATATTACAAACACCTCAGAATTTTTACTTTGTCACAAATGAGGCTGTTGAACATCGCACAATGCCAAACGATTTAAAATGTGTCGGCAGTGTCTAGCCTGAGTTTTCACCTTGGGCTGATTCAGCAACTACGCAAACAGGTACAAATCTAGAACTGTCGGTCATTTGGTGTTATCTTTTCCGGTGACCTAAAATATTTGGTATTGCTTCGTTCATCTTTCTGTGACTGTAATTTTGAACCGATTCGGCTTGCCTGGAAAAAGGATATGCAACTGACTTCTTTAAAGGCATTTAATAATCACTAAAACGACCAAAATGTACTTGTTAATTAGTTATTAGTTTGTAAATTTAGCATAGCCATATGAGTGGATTAGTACTACCTAACACAGTATCATTCATTACGTTGCCATAGAGGAACTCCTTATCCGAGTTCTTTTACGGGATCTAACAGGCACGTTACATCCTTAAATCGTATGTCATACTGTTGATTAAATCAGTGCCTTCAAATGTCTCTGACACAACTATTCTTTCGAATTCACAGCACTCGAGTGCCCCCATGAATCCTACATTCCACGCTTTCTCCAAGCTGATCAACTGTTCAACGCCATTGCGGCCTCCCAAGAGGGCGATGAGAGCGTCCGAGGCACCGTTCCAGGCATCACTCTGGCTATCCACTTTGTTCCCCCAGGGCTCTTCGAATCTCCCGCCTACCAGGCTTTCGTTTCTCGGTATGTAGATTCTCGAGTCTCCACTTCACTTTAAAGTAGGCACTATTTTCGAGCGAAGATCCCATTCTCTAAAAGTGGACCTGAAAATGTTTATTATTTCTACTATTTACTGCGTTGGTTATTTTTGGTAGCTCCTTAAATTCTGATGGGTAATTGAGAAGAACTGCTAGTGGTTCACTTAGATCGACACTGGTTCATCGTTTATTGGACGTTTAGTAATCTCAAATGGTGGCGATAATTTCTCAAACATTCAACTTGCAGAGAAGCATCATTCTTATCCATTATGAACTACCAGAGCTAAGAAAAAATGCCGTTTAATCTAAAGAATTTGACCTGGAAAGAAGTCTTATCTCCATTTAGCTTGAACCAGTTCGGTCAACGCGAGGAGTTGAGTAAATCAGTGGCGAACGAGACCAAAGGTGATGGCACTCCACACACTGGGGAAACTGACGATGGCGACGGTCTCCATCACCTCGTTCTGGATGGTTCTGAAATCCGACGCTCCTGTCCTCCCGTGACGGGCATCTTTGGTCAATCCATCACCCTCCACACCCACTTCGATCCTCATCTCTACCCCAAGCTGATGGCCCTTCATTCTCTAGAGGTATGCCAGTTTTAGAGACGAATCACTCCTGCCGTGTTATTGCATTAATTTCTTTATTTTACCTGTATTTAGCCGAAACTGGACCTCTCCCACGTGAAGCCCTTCTCGCAGGTAGTATATGCCGAACCGATGATGCGATACGGCCTGCGTCCACACACTGGATTTGACACGTATGTTGAATTATTTCATCCGGGACAAAGCAACCCACGTGCATGCGTTGTGATGAGGTCACTCAAATCCTAGGAAACTCGGTAGTTCCTTATTGGGATGTTCAGAAGCAGTTTCAGTTCTCCGACAGGAAGATCTATGGACGTATTTTTGCTTTTTCCTGGGACGTGCTAAGAACAGTTTCTTTTTGAATTCTCCTCTAGTGTTTTGTTTACTTGGGTAGAAATAATGGACATGAACTTGGTCATTGATGGGAAAATTCCAACAGTCATACGAGGTGATCGCGTAAATTGGCCTCCGTAATACTGTGAATGAATGCTTATTGTGTTTTAAGAAAGGTGAATACTAGATACAAGCCCAAAATATTGGGTTTATAGAAGCTCGTTGTTTTTAAAATTCCAGTAACTGATCACTCACCGTCGTAAGTAGTCGGATTTCTTGGTAAATTCGGCCCGTTATTCCTTCCATCAAGCCAGCGCTCCTATAAACTAGGGTTTAATTTATTTCCTTAAATCGTTATCACAACATCCTGTTTGTTTTTTCTTTGTTTGGCAAATCTGCGTTATACAAGCGGAGGGTGATATATTCTCATCCAAAGAGAATTTCTTTTAATTTATTTCCTTTCAGTGCAAACTGTGTAATTCTGGATGAGAAGGAGTTACTTCAACAGGCCTTTGATCCGCTCTACGTCTCCGAGGCGGAAGCCGAGGAAGCCTTCAAGAAGATGCGCTCCGAACTCAATGCCGCCATTGCCAAGAGGGATAAGGGTTAGCTAGGTTATTGTAATGGTCACTAATACGTATTAACGAATAATGTCATTTAGTAGCATCGTCATTCGGAGTTGTTTGCAAAGCTAAACGTGCTCAATTTCTGTCAGAAACTTTGCTGCTTCCTCAAATCCAATGCCACCTTCTGTTCCAATGAAACCGATTTCGTTTCTGTAGTTTAATCAGCTTAAATCTTACATGTATTCTAGCTAACATTTCCTCTGCCATTGAGCTGCATCGCGGTGCACGGTGATAATTCCACCATTTTCTTTGCTAGACGGAGCCACTTCGCCACTGGAGAAGCTGGAATGGCCAGAATTCACCTTCCTGGGGACAGCTTCCTCCTCGCCCAGCAAGTATCGAAACATCAGCGCCATTCTCATGCGTCTCAGGTGCTTCTACCCTTCTACCTTTCTGTTCCCTGTTTACCTGCAAAATAGATATCTCATCTTCCTACGAAGTGTCAGCTTATTAAATGATGTCATTTTCGGTGCCTTTTTTGTCATTACCACTAGCCAGGTAGTTTATGACCGAATTTGCCGTGGAACAGTTCATCTTTGCATGTCTTGTCTCTGCCTTATTACCATCCTTTTGCTTCTTTTTCCGTTATAACAGCCCAGACGAGTGCATTCTTCTGGACTGCGGAGAGGGCACTTTGAATCAACTCTACGCTCTCCATGGAATCGAAGGGACACATCGTCTTTTGCGCGGTCTTCGGCTCATTCTTATCACCCATATGCATGCTGATCACCATGGGGTAAGTAGATACCTTTACTTCTTCAGTTTGAGACACGACTTTCTAATACTTGGATGTAGTACTGCTGTAGAATCTCGTTCAGCAATGCTTTTCGACAGTGTGATGTCAAAAAGCGACTGTGAAAGTAAAGTTAGTTGACAGTCCCATTTTATCAGTTGTAAGCATCGTCTTCGGATGGTTAGAATAGGTGCTTCCGTGAAAACACGCAACTTTTCAAAGTTAGATGATTGTGTTGAAGGGGCAAAATTTTGTGGACGAAGTTAAGACAAGTGGAATTCGAAGTAGATCAGAACTTTTAATCTTATGCGCATTATAAAAATGCAATGGTGGTGAAGTGCTCAGTCGCAGTAAGACACTCGATTGGCGTCGAAGTTTCAAAGGCGCCCGAGTGCGCGGCTGTCAGTTGGTTCGCTCCCACCCCACAACACAGCAGTCCTTCTGCCGGCGTGTCGAATTCTCTCCTGGTCAACGCATAAACACTTGAGAGGCACAAGACTGTTCGCACCGGAGGCAAATTTTTCCACGGGGGTGGTGAACTAAATCACCCACGAGGATGTAAAATTTCGAAGTCGGCGTTTCACCACAGACGGCGACGTAAAACGGATTGTCCTATGATGGTTCAGCTCAGCTAAAAAAGTCCTCCTGTGTCGAAACTTCAGTTTCAACTTCTTGTAACTCGCATATTTCTTCTTGTAATTTCAAAGGCACTGGTTCGGGTTGAATATCTTTTGCGAAAGTCCAAAAAATTCCAGAAATCCCCACGTTTGACAGGTGGTTTTTTAGGTCATCTGTAGTCACAAAGAGACATTGCATTTCTCTTTGCTGAGAAAGTCCATTTATCCCAATTTATGTTGGCTCGGTGAGCATATATCCGCAACGTTTTTCCTCGACAATCAAACTCCACCTTCTTACTCCATCTTACACAAGGGCGTGATGACAATAGCCCGGAAGGTTTACGATCTGACTCGAAATCCCGCAGGCCTGCCGGTACTGGCACCGCCACCCTTCTGGAAGTGGGTAAACAGCTACACTGACCTCTTCCAGTCCATCACCACCACCGGCAAGCACGTGCATCTCTTTCCCATCAACCGCGTCTACGAGGCACCGCCCGAGCAGCTATCCTGCCAGTCGCCCGTCATGGCACCCTCTACCGGATGTAGTTCGGACTTGCTTTCACCGCCTACCGTCAGTCCTATATGGCAGCTGCGGCCCTCAAATGATGCGGTGACCAGTGATTGGAGGCGACTGCTCGAGCAGCTAAAACTCAAGGTCCGCTTTACTTTTGAAATAGTCAGGATTTTCGCGTAATGGGTTTGGGGTCATTCTGGACCTGAGTTTATTGAAGCCCTTCCTTTTTGAATGATGTAGAAAGTGATTTTGGTTATCTTAGGGCTCGTCAAGGGATCTCATTTTGAAGTTATCATTTTGAAAAGGTCGTTAAATTTTTATAAGTACTTCCGAGGGACTCAAAACGCGCATAAAGGAAGCCATTCTGGGTTTCAATTTTCCTTTCAAAATAACGTGGTGGGTGCTCTTTGAATCGCAGTGCCTGCATCCCGCTACAAATCTTCCGCTGCCCAGAAACCCATTCGTCCTAATTACAAACACTATTTTTAATCGTCCTAAATCTTGTTCAGATTGAACCGGTTAGAGTGCCGCACACGGGCACGTCGTGGGCCTATGTACTGTCCCGAGTAAAGGGAGAGGAAGAAGACGCGAGACCCTGGAAGGTAGTTTTCTCGGGTGACACCCCACCCTGCTCTCAGCTGGCTGAGGCGGGGCGCGACTGCGACCTCCTCATTCACGAGGCCACCATGGGCGATGGCTACGAGGAACAGGCTGTCACCGCGCATCACAGGTACGTACGTGCTCCCTCAGGTTGTTTTATTAGACCATTGCATAGCGCATTATTTCTTTTCCTTCTTCCAAGAAAGTGGGAGATAGTTCCTAAGTTAGAGATTGTAAATTTAAATGGTAAACTCTTAAACGAGTGTTTTGAACTTCTGTGATCGGCTACTCTAGGGGACTTTTCCTCATGTCGTCTCAACTGTAGCACAACTGGCGAGGCGATCGCGATTGGTCGGCTGATGCGCGCCAAATTCATCCTCCTCACTCATTTCAGTCAGCGCTACTCACGTCTGCCCAGCTTTGACACTTTTCAGGAGGACATTGCACCCGCTTTCGACTTCATGCAAGTGAGCTTTTGTCCTCTCAAGGCTAACTGATACCGCGTTACCCGTATCTGCTGCAAAGTAGGCTGTATTTGTGTAATTTACCTGGGTAGACAGCCCATGCAGGAGGCTTTGAACAAGCTGTCCATAGTTGGAAGAAAAAATACTAGTTCAAGATTATGTCAGTGGAATTGCCTAGGTTCATGATTGGGTCCTGGTTGTATTGATACATAATGCTATGTAATTCCACTATCAAGATGGAAGCCGAGATAGCGTTGAGATTCTATCATAGCAGAAAGCTGAACAATTTTGAGGCAGCGTTCTTACAAGCTGAGTCGCCACCTGGTATGGAACGAAGATTTTATATTCATGATCTGGATCATATCAAGGCCTCGAACGGATAGTCAGTAGAAAAGACCTCAGAATGTCCTTACTGATCGACGTAGCGAGTAATCAAAGGACGGGCCGGTGAACGTATACTCGTCTAGCGGCTAGGCAATGGAGATTCGTCTGTAGCTATAATAACTGATTGACCATGGCCCTAAAGCGATCATCTGTTTCATATGAGCCAACCAGGAGAGAGTGAGCGAGGACACGACCCTCTAGGATGTCTAAAGATTGGCTATCAACTGGAGCTTCTGGAACATCCAACAGGAACTTTTTCTAGGGTTGCGGACATCCTCATCAAGTCTGTATAGAATCCCCTTGCTATATTCTCCCGTTCGATGAACCGCATTGAGTAATACGATTCTGACAAATTCTATTCTTCCACAACATTTTTTGCACGACATCCAAACGGTCAGCCCCTAGAGTTATTCCCTCCACCCGGGAAATGTTAAACTGTTCACTGCGTAGTTATGGGCCTAAAAGTTTTATGTTGCGCATAGGTGAGGCTGGGAGAACTGTGGAAGCTGCCTTACTTTCTGCCCTTCTACAAGTATGCCTTCGCGCGCCACTGGGAGCTGTTGCAGACCCGCGCCGACGCTAACCAGCAGCGGAGGGCGCGTGTCGAGGGCGCCCTTGAGGAGACCCGCCACACCGTCTCGCAGGCGCTCGGGAATATTGGCACTCTCCGCAGAAGTACCCGGTGAGGCTCAGGAATGTACTCATCTCCCTTCTCACCCCTGTAGTCATAATTTCTTTACCCTTTGGATTATTGACTGGTGAATAAATAATACCTCTTTAGAAATTGGGGTTGGATTAATGAATTTTCGAGATTTTGCAGCGTGTCACCAGAATATGCTTTATTTTTCAATCATCGTTTTCAAACCTCTGCAGTTTACCGAGTTATCGCCTGTTCCGTCTTTCGTACAATTTATTAAATGGAAGAGAAATTCATGGGGATGCTTACAGCCTCCGAATACTTCTCAGTCTCGACGTTCTGGAAGTTCTCGTTGGGTTTCCTCTTCTTTGCGGCCCATTCTTGGACGTGCTGGGAGTGGCTGCAATTCTCACTCGTTGATTTTCTCCTGGTTAGTCAGTAATGGGTGCGAATAGACCCTTTCACTTCAGGAAAATACGCGTGGGTTTTCTAAAGTTATGGTCCTGTCGAGGCTAGAACCACTACTCGAGCGTCAGATGAAATTAATACAGGCGAAAGCTCCGAATCTGTCCGTTTAGACAGCCGCATCATTAACTGATGGCACTCGATGGCTTGAAATCACTCCGATTCAGTCTGGACAGTCCCCGAACCCGTACTGTGTATTATTAGGGTTTGAAGATGGTCCATATCTCAACGACCAACAGCCTGGCACCAGAGCTGAGAATAATCCCTTCCACTTGCTAGTACTTTGCCAAGTCTCATCCCCACAAGTAGCATCGCTGGCTAGAAGGATGGGTATTGTCGGTTCTACCCACCCATCCAACTTCAACTAGGACAAGGTCAGATCAAATCCACGCGTGCAGCCTTCCTGCTTTCCAAGCCAATGCACCTGGCTGTCTGAAGTGCATTGCTGTCCTCGAAAATTATCTCGGAGTCCATCATCCCTCTGTAATCGCCACCTCTGTCTGTGGTGGCCAACTGATGCTCTCTGGATGGCTCCAATGCTGTGCCTCCTGTGGCACATCACTTCCTGCAACGTATTATATTGCTGTGATTAGTTTGACCAGCTGGGCCTGGACTGCGTACCGATTAGTACCAGCTGGGCTCCTGGAGACGTTACCCACTGAATACGGCTCCGCACCGCATCACCCCAGATGCAATGGGTAAGCAAACCGACTTGCCGACACATTCAAGCAGGTGCTGATGAAGCCACGAGGAAGGAGGTTGGCCGCCGTTATCTTACAGGGTTTCCTACTGGGTTAGCGCACAGCTTCGAACAATTCCGTCTGAAACCGCCAATCACCAACAGAGGCGCTAATGGAATGTAAACTTCGCTCGGTCTTGAAGAAACCGAAAAGCGTTCATTGGAAGCCTCAACAACATTTTAAGCAAAACTTTGAAGTCTACACTCACGACCAGCGTTCAGGCCACGGTCTTAATCGACGTCAGGACCTGCAACTACATCTCGTTGAGGCACCAGAGCCAACTGCACCTGGGAACACGGTGAGGCAGCAGCAGCCCAATATGGTGTCACTTTGGTGAATCAACTGCCGTACACTTTCTGAATGCTGCCTTCTGTGGATCCTGCTCTACAGACTGAATCTCGACTACCTCGTCCTCTCTCCCAGGGCAGTGGTTCGCTAGGCAAAGGCGAAGTTCCAAAATTTCACCTTTGGAAACCGTAGTACGGATTCGTTATTTTACGGGTAGAGGTGGTGGGGATGTTTGCAAGCTCGGAAACACGCACCCAGACGTCCACGTTCTCCTTTGGTATGCTACACATACTAACATATCTAGTTATCTTATAATGGAAGTGAGGTAAATCCTGCCTGTTGATGGATGGTGTGTTGTGAGTTTTGTCCTATCAAGAAGAACTTTTGGCGCATCTCTCGATACGCAGCGTACCCATCTGCCTATTGTGGAGACTGGAAGCGTCAATGCCTTTTTGCCACGTACTTTTTCCTCAAAGACGGCAAATTTTTATTTTTGTTACAAAGCCAGTCTGATGTTTGGAATGTGATTGTTTTTCCCTTCATGTAAAACAGTCGAACTTATTTGCCTAACCTCACTGTTTAGTCCAACAGGCAGGTTTCCATAAAGGCCAAACAACAGATCATACCTTATAGCATCTGTGGTGTCCTTGAGAGTGGCATCACGATTTACTTTACTATTAATCGTACTGGCGGTTTAGAAGTTGGATTCTTGAGCCGTATGATTGGAAGCATTTTGATCTAGCAGCTGGTTCTGGATCATCAAATATGAGTTGTTCGATTTCCGAGGTGGGGAAATGACTGGACACTCATAACATATGGAAGTTGGATGACAATTAAGGCGTCCGTATTATTTCAACATCCCTGCCAATGCGGATTAACTTTAGAAGTCAATTTATTTGCCAAGTTAAAAGTTGTGGAATGATGTAAGAGAGGTAGGGCGGAGGGGAACCACCACCACCACCACCACCACCACCA